CTGCTGGAGCTTGGATCAATTCGGATCCAGATTCCATTCATGCACACGCCCAGGGTTCCCGCTCTGTTGCAAACAAGGTGACTGAGACTGGGCTCTCGGAACCGCTCCCCGTCCACAAAATTCTACGCCTCCATGGCGGTGAACGGACGCCGTGCATCACCCCAATCCACCTCCGGCTATCATCCCGCCCGAATAGAAGTCGCGAGAGAAGGAGGGAAGAAAAAAATACTTCACCAGTACCCAGAGCAAATGACTCCTTCGACGTGAAAACTCTGCTGCCTTCTGGGCGTCGGTGCCAGTCAGTGCGCGCGTCCTATCAGTCAAGGAGGATATCACGAAGGGAGTGGGAAGCGTGGGTACCCGCAACAGGATCTTGTCAGCCCGTCACTCGTCACTTCTCAGCATGCCTCTCCACAACACGCGAGCGGAAACTTTACGGCGCATCGCAGAAAACCCGCCTGCCTACGCATGCGTTATCGACGGCCCCCAAATGGGCCCTCCTTTTGGAGATCAAGATCCTGTAGCACGACAATCCGACAACCGTTGACACCTCGGCTCATGTGCATTTGATACGGCGCAGATGCAGGACGCGGTTGGGGCGCGTTGCAGAAGTCGGCCAACATCATCACCGCTCATCGCGCGTCGTCCCGTCGAACAATTCTTTGCGAGCATCGACAGATTTTTATCAGGTGGCCCAAGGTGCTCTCCCAGCTTCCAATTGTCGTCGTATCCTTGCAATAGTACAGGGAGCTGGGTTCTGGATTAGGGCAAACCTACCAATGCCTCTCATCGCCCGCCAATTCCAGCCAGCCCGGGCAAACAACCTTTCAACCAGCCACTTCCACCGTCTTCCTTTCCGTCGCCCTGATGGACGACGACGGCTTCTCTGGATGTTGGAAAGTTGACTCATCGTACCCTGCCCAAAGGGTTGGGCATGGTTGCTTCTGCGTCTCCACTCTTTTCCCATCTTGTCGTGCCTGGCAGACGCCTCACAGCTCAATCCCAGGTTGGCGGTGAAGGATACCTACACGGGCTGGCTCAGGGATTCCCTCCTTTCCCCCTCCTCCTGTCCCGCGTTTCCGAATCCGGACCCCTTGCACTGCACTTTGCCCGCCAACCCAACCCGCCCTGGGAAGGGAACTTCGAACGTCGTTGGTGGCTTGAGTTAAAAACAGAATTCGGGGCCTGGGCTGCTGCCAGCTGCGGGACCACTCGTCTGTACGTTTGACGGATATTCTGAAACGGAGCTTGTGTCTTGTTGCATACGCAGCACCACCACGGCCGCCGCAACGCACCGCCGCGGGCACTAAGGCTATCCGGAATACCCTGATGATCAATTTTTCCCCCATCGACGGGCCTGCAGAGCGAGATGCAACGGGATGCGCACCCCCACTAGTCATACGACTGAGACTTCTCGACGTCACGGGCGCCACGACGCGGGAGAGAGAGCGAAGGGCACAGTATCGCTCGGGTAAGGCGGTCGACGAATTTTAAAATTAATAAGGCAATGATTGCTATACGGAGGCTTTTCGATAGCTCTCTTTCCGGCTTCTTGGCTCCGAACGCCGCCGCGATCGTGTTTGTGGGTTTGGGGTTTTAGTCATGTTCCCTCCCCCTTCACCGTAACAACTGGCATCGCGGGTAACGATAGAAGGTGATGGTGATTTTTGGAAATTGCAGGATGAATGTACGTCCAGTTGTCACCAATTACCGCCTGCGCAAATGATATCACATCTTGGGAGGGGAAAAGATACCAAATGTTGATTCCAGATGCGGGTTCGGGTTTGATGGCCGGACTAGCCGCGATATTCCCAACCCGCGGCCCAAGTCTCTCTCCATTATCTCTCTCAAACAATGGCGCCATGGCCGGCCCCCCATCGTACATGCTTCTCACGATTTCCCGTTCTCAATTATAGGAAGGATGATAGAGCAGGATGGGCACGTGTTGGGAGCAAAACCCCAGCAAGGGCCAACATCGGATCGGCGCGCGCGTGTGCCTCTGTGCGGGCTATGTTTCGTGATGATTGAACTACCTTTCTGTGTGTCGAGTGAGGGTAGGGAAGGGCGGGCGAACTACTTCGGTCCGGTTCGTCGGCGGGCATTGCGTGCTTTCTATCAGTGTATCATGACATTTTTCCACGGGGATGCTTGTCCGTTTTGTCTGCCCATTGCTCCCTGTCAGTAAACATCCGAGGTCTCTGTCTCTGGGTGACGGTGAAGGAGTGTCCGCTGTCTGACTATGATTCCTTCTTGATTGCGGTGATTCTGGATTTGCTATGATTGATGGTTCTCGGACTGAGATATACGATGTTTGATCCAGAAGAGATACATGTCTCCTCGGTGAGATGTGATTCTCTCTGTGTGGCTTTGAGATCCACCCGACGGTTTTGTCTCCTTCGGTCCCAGGAATGGAGTGAGACTCCCGGCGGAGGGAATGCCAATCGGGTCGGCTTGCCGTAAACTACTTCATGTCTGGACATCCATGACTCCAAGAGGATATCGTTTTCGCCAAAGTTCGGATGCAGCGTTCCCCTCGCAGCTATCCTTTTTCAGGCCACAGTTTTGGTAAGGTTTTCGGATGTTAGTTGGACATGGAATTTTCGCATTATGGGGAAATCGAGATTGACGCCGTCCGCTTCGTTTACCTATGGTTTCTCTTCTGTGAAGAGGCTGGATTGAGGTTGCTCAGGTGTGTATTAAGACTCGAGAAAGGGGAACTGCGTAACTCCCCGTGGGATCATGGTTCATAGAGGCAGGCTTTGTGTGTGTAGATGTGATAAATCTACGCATGTTCTTCTTCATGGAAGGTTACCAAACGTTGTTGAAAATTGTGTTCTGGGTTCTCTGTTTCCCATATTGGTGCTTGGTGTCGTTGCTGATGTTGTTGCGGTGTGGGTGTCGGATGAGTCATACCTCGATGAACTTGGCTGAGACGGGAACTCATCGCCACGAGGAAGTCAGGACGGCTAAAATGAGATAGACTGATTTTCAAAAGCGCTTTTATGAGAAACAAAATGTTTTAAAATTTCAGAAGATGAGTTGTGGGATGTAGCCTAGTTCATTCATGTCAAGGGGAAGCTCTGCTACGTCTGCAATAATAAACGTGACTGCAACTGGACCTTTGCGCCCTGATATTTCCACCGTTACAACTCTCCTTAGCCAAAACGAACCGCTGACTGCAAACTTTAACTGTAGAGAGTCGCTGAACGGTTCGTAAAAAGTCGTTCGCAGTGGCGCCGGAGTTGGAAGCCTGTCTTGAGACACCCGCCTGCCTGCTTCTCACCGTCCTCCACGAGCTAGAAGTCTTTAAACCCGCACCGTCCCGGTTGATACTATATCGTATAGTTCTCATACGCTCGATTTCCCAAACGGTCGAGGCCGTTTTTCTCTCAGCTTGGTCAATCCGCTGGTTCCACAGTTGAGTTTCCCATACCCCAGAACCGTCCGTTCTCTGGGAAGCCTCGAGATATATGTGCGCCCCGAGCGTTCGGCATCTGTTCAAACTCTGAAAAATGACATGGACGGGACCCTCGGGAGTGCGATATCCTGACTCAGACGAGAACGGGCTTTTCCCCAACGACAGGTCATGGCTCTTGTCCGTCTCTCGCTAGATAATTCGGATCGTTCGCGGAGGAGTAGTCGTCAGCATATGGAACTCCCTCAGTGATATGTACGAAGTCAAAAGGAAAAGAAGATAGACTTCTTCCCGACAGGTTTATCACGCGTGTCTTTCCCCGCGTGGTGTGAAAAGCATGCCGCCCTCCACAACTCTTTTCTTTTCAATTTCGATCCTTTGGGATATCAATATCGATATCTTGGGGCCAAATACGCGGTTAGAGTATCGGATATAGACTTTGAAGAACGCGATCTCCCTTATGATGCGCCGGTATCGAATACCATCCCAAATCGACTCCGTCACTGTCCTTGTAGCCTCTACACTACAGCTCCGTCTTACATCAGCCCAGTTCCCCATTCCATCAAGCCTCCGGTCCGCGCTGGACCAGAGACTTTGCGTCCTCTTCAGATCGCGTGGGGAACAGCTCTGCGGTAGGAGCTCTGGGTATTGGAAACACGGAACCCGTCCAATATCAACCTTTTTCTCGGCGGCCAGTCCGGATCCCAATTGAACCAATGAAGCAACACGTCCCGTCAGATCTCTCATCTCAGATCACCCTCCCTCACTTCAAGCTTCCCCGAAACTCAATGTCACGCGTGCCTCTAAGGCGGCATTCTAGAATGGGGCAAGATTGTGTAATGTAATCAGAAAGTAAGCAACCAAAAAAGCTAGACGTCACGATTGGGAAAGCCCAACTGCACATATTCGATGTCAACCATTGCGCAAATCGTCCCAAACATGACAGACTTCTTAGAGGTTGCTTACACACGACGACGAACGGACGTTGAACAGACCACATGTGGCCACACCCCCAAGACCTTCGGTTCGTGGTTGCCGTAGTGAGAAAAACGTTTGCGCCTCGCGCCATGAACCCCGCCACGTGAAAAAGACAACCCACGAAGCTCAGATATTCTTCTTTCACTAACCCCCCCAAGCAATGTCCCGGCCGAGGGTTGACGGGAGCTTACACCTGCATAAACCCTGCAGCTGATCGATTGGGGGAGAAGACACAGGCGCATGACGCCTGTAAGCTAACGCTGCAGCACGCAGGCAATAAATGACCCCTCACTTGTGGCTGATTGACGCAAATCAGATACAGTCTCGGGTCACAGGAGGAGAACGCAAGATGAGGGGGTGGATGGAAGGAAGGATGGATGACGGAAAGGAGGAGGGGGGAAAGAGGAGCGCAACCGGTCTGCACGAGGGGAAACTCTCGCGATGGCCTCATTCCCATCCTTCTAGAACACTCATGCCTACTGCCCCCGATAGAAGTAGACTTTTCCATCATTGAGAGAATCCGATATCTTTTCTGAAAGTCTAACTTCCCCAACTTCCAATTCGTCCTCCCCGACCAAACGCACTGGAGCTCTCTCCCACCTCGAAAATGTCAAACTTCCCCAAGCTAATCCCAGCCTTCACCGTCCAGGTAAGAGACATCTCCAAACTCAATTGCAAGCATCACAGCTCCGAACCGCCCGTTGAAAAAAACCACCAGATTCACCTCGGCACCCCCTCACCAATCGGCACCCTCGCCCACGGGCCCTCCCAGCTCCACGCTCCCTTCCTCCCGGACGCGGGCGCTCTCGTCTCCGAGCCGGGCTACCCGCTCCGCATCGACGCCGTCTTCCTCCACGGCTCCGACTTCCTCCGCTTCGACCCGGACGGCAACACCGCGCGCCTCGAGGTCGCCAGCGCGCTGCGCGACAGGGCCACCGGCGCGGTGATCCGCTTCGACTACACGGGCACGATCGACATCTCGGGACCCGCGGGGAGGGTGTTGAAGGATCTCCCGGGGGCGGCGACGACGGAGTTCGGGGATGCTTGTGGGTTTTGCTGCTCGGTGTGTAAGGAGTTGAGCTAACCGGGTCGCGCAGTCACTTCCGCAAAGTTCGAGTCCGGGCACGAGGCGTTGAGGGAGCTGCAGAACAAGATCTACGTTGGGTCCGGGCGGTTCGTGCTCGAGGAGGGGAAGCCGATTGTGGTGGAGTACAAGATCAGCGAGGTCGTAGCCTGAGCACCTACGAGGCATCACGGGCGCCAATGTTACGGAGGTCTTGTCAACTTGTGTATGTGGATTTGCCTGAAGGGGAAATCTTTCGTCTACTTTCTTTCAACCTCCCAAGAAAGCCCCCTCCCTTCCTCCCTCCGAAAACAAGAACCATGTCATGCGAGACGAAAACACCGTCCTCTTCCTCCTGTGCTGCGTTTTCTGGGAACTCTGAGACTGTGAGTGTGACGACGTTGCCTGCCTGGCCGTGTAGCAAAATCCGAAACTCCCAACATACAGCCCTCTGCTGCAGCAAATGCAATGCGTATTTGTGTAAAATGTGTTTGTCTGTGTAGTTGTAGTAGTCCTGAACCTTCGTTCTATCCACTTTGTGGGAATCGAGGGGCTGGCGGCTAGCGCGCGTTGGAATCGAAAAAGGATAAGAAAAGGCCGCCGAGCAGTCGATTGAGTTGACCAAAAGTGATGCGTACTCAGAATGCTCAGACCCAGGCCGTCATAAATGCCGTTCCAACGTCAACGTTCCCTGGCCACATGTGCCCGTTCCGGTCGTTTCGCCCGCACATATTTAGACGCCAGCCAGCTGCATGAGGCGTTCGCCGGCTCTGAGGTTGGCGTACTCGTAGGCCTTGGACTCAGCAGGGAAGGTACCGTTCGCGGCCCAGAGGTCGATCAGGGGCTGCATGGGCTCGAGCTCGTGGGGCTTCAGCATATCCAGGGCGGTGGCGGTAAGGATGAAGTGGCTGAAGCAACTGTTTAGGGACTTCTCCAGGTTCAGGTGGTAGAAGGGCTCGGTGAAATGGGCCCAGTAAAGGTGAGCGTAGACGCGGAACATCTGGCGGAAGATCGTCTGGCATACGTCGATGAAGTTCTGGGGAAAGCCGGAGCGTTTGCCGATCCAATCGGGCTCACCCGGGTTGGTGAGCTGGGAGAGGGGCGTCGTTGTGATGCTGGGGTTGTGCGCGTAGGAGACGCCCGAGGGGTCGGTGGGGAAGATGTTGGTGTCGTCGATCTTGCCCGAGATCCATCTCTGCATAAGAGTCATGTATTCAGCGGCGGGAAGTTCAACGGGCTCTCTGCGGCTGTTGAGCCAGGTGAAGGAGTGGTTACTGTGATATGTCAGAAGGTGAGTGAGTGGCAGTGAGATTTGAATCAGACTTACGTTCCAGCAGACATCCTCGGGCAAGTTGATGCGTTGCAGATGGTGGTTCCATCCTCCTCCTTCTCGTGAAGGACGCGGACAAAGTTCCAGAGGTTTCTGTAGTGCTCGACAACTAGAATCCGGTAAGCATCAACACAGCGACATAATGGCAGCATAATCTACGCACCCTGATGCGCGATCCACTCGCCCTGCTCGACCGTCTTTGGCCTTGCACTCAGGGTCATGAAGTTGCCCTTGACAATGTGCTTGCCATAGTTGGAGTTGAGCCAGATCGGCATGGGCCGAGGCAGGTGGTATGAACCGAGGATGTCGTCGCCGTTAGCCATACCGCCCTGAGCATCCATGCCAATAGTCTGAGCAAGAGAAGGGGAGTTGGGCAAAGGCGGGACACTGGGCGCCCTGACAGAAGCTTGGCTTTGAGGTGCCTGCGCAACGGTAGGTGATGAAGGCTGGCCGGCGGTTGAAGACGTGGGGGACTTGTTCTGTCCAGGAGGTTTAGCGGCGGCACCCCGGAAGCGGGCGTTGCTGTTTATCGATGCCAGGTTAGCGGGCGAAAGGTGAGGATTAGGATAAGCAACGCAAGGCATAGAAAGGAATCGAGCATGATGGTAACGTCGACCACTAGGCCGATGACAACGGGGTACCAAGGCCCAAGAGCCTGCTCCAGCCATGCTGAGAGTATCTGACTGAGACAAGGCATAGCATGGAGCGGGGCTGTTGACAGGCTAGGGATGTCTGAGACCGTTGCTGACCAGGGCTGCCGGGTAAGGCCGATGCCTGAGCGGGGCCAAACGGTGTTGCGTTGATGGAATTCGACGAACAGACAGCCAGCCGCACAGATATCGCGGCGGTGTATCTTGACAGTAGGCCAGGAGCTGCCTCAGCCTCGTCATTAAAGTTCCCAAGGGGATACTTCGACAGTTCCTTTGTTGCTGTTGATTGAAACTGGTGATGTCGCCAGGCTACAGGTATCGAGGAGCGGGGTCGAGGACGCGTTGGTCTCCGCAAGAGTAGAAAGGCGGTAAAGGTATATGAAACGATCTTGACAAGGGCGGGTATTGGCGAAGACCTCTAGGCTCGAAACCCATGGAAATAATTTCCAGTGTGATGTCGAAGCCAAGCCTAGCCCATTTGAAAGCACAGACAAAGCTTGCAAAGGGCAGGCAGCCTCCTGTCGCCTTCCTCCTCCGTAGGTCTGGTGATAGGCTTGTGGAGGAACCGAACTTTGCACTTCAAGTCTGCTGTTGGGTCTGGCCTCGCTTGATACCCAAGGCTAGTCGTGACAGTGGTTGTTGCCTAAATGGATGGCAGTATTGATACCGGCTTGGTCCTTTGGTTCCACTTCCTCCTCTCCTTCCTGATGTTGATGTGATGGATGCTGATATCGGGGAGCAATGGTGAGATGGAGCAGCCATTGCATCCACATCATCTCAAAACACCAGACCTGGGACTTGGTGACACAGGTCCTTTTGCAGTGCAATATTGCATCTGAAGCATGGGAGCGATTCACCCCGCATGAACAGAACAAGGGACAGGTTGCCTTTTGTTCCAATGACGTACTGACGTGCGGCAGCAACCACAAGCCAACCGATGAACACCACACATGACAGCAACAATCAGATGAGTTCGTAATGTTGAAGTCCTGTCTGTTCTCAAGTGAAGAAGATGCACCCCATGTCTCGGGGTCGGGCCGGTTGCATGTACCAAGTAACGGCTGCAGGCTGCGGCACTAGCCGGGGAACCAACTTCACAGCTGTCTGCTGTGCAGCCGCCATGACACCTTCCAGTCCCGTCCCTGGCAGCCCAATATTGGAGATGGATAAGGAGAAAAGCAGACAGGGATGGGGGAGAAGACAAGGAAGGGCAAAAAGCAAAAGCAAAAAGCAAAAGGACAAACGAAAAGGTGGAAGTAACTCACATTCCTGAGAAGAGGTTCGACATGGCAAGAGAGACGTTCCGCGGTGAGAGGGAGGCGGAGGGGGGGTTATATGGCTGGGTCGACCGGCACACCTCCTGGGAGGGTTGTACTCTGTAGGGGCTGGGGAAATAGGTTCTCAGGGCTGATGATTCAAAATTCAGACCGTTTGACAATGGAAAAGTGGTCGGATATCAAGCAAGGAGAGAGGGTTAAGCTGAAAAGGGGCGGTTGAAGGTGAGCTTCTTCGGACTACGTTCGCTCCTGCATCCAAACAGGAGTAGCAGCATGAGGGACGCTAGACTTGAAATGTTACATTAAGCGAGCGCACGAGCCGTCTCCTCCACAGCCTTGGGTCTCCATGCTGCTTGACTCTGTCGCCATTGGACTGCCGCTAGGCGGAAATAAGGGTCCTCTTCAGCCTCGTGTGGCGTCTGGGAGGTTGGGGCGAACAGACGGTGTAGCTTTTGATCTTCTAAAAGCTCCTCTAAAGTCAGGGGAAATCGCCCAGATCATCTGCAATTACAAATTGCCTCCACTGACGCCAAGTAACCTCTGCCACTGCCGTATCCTGTCGGCATAAATCTGCCAAAGCATAAACCTGCCAGACCGGGACTCGGTGCCGAGACGGGGATCTCCCATCAAATCGGTTGTTCTTGCCTCCGGCATCCGGAGTAGGTGTCCTGAGGTCGGGTGTGGCGGTGCTTCTTCACCAGCCTCACATACATTCACCACACGCACTGGCCTGGCAGTCACCGAGGAGCTCAATTGAGTGGGTCCAATTTTCGAGCAGGGATCTCGCAAGCCTCGCCGTAGCGTCTGCTTCCAGCAAAGGAGCTACACGTCCATTCGCAACAACGTCAATTTTTGCCATCACGCCCACATTCAGAAATACCCGAGTCGAAATCATCCGTCAACATGTCTGACTCTGAGGAATTGGTCGAGCTCCCCGAGGAGGAGGAGGAGGATCTCTTTGGCGACGAGGCGGCCGACGAGCTTCCCGAGGATCGCAGTCGCGCTGGCAGCGAACGCGCCGCATCAGATGGACTCGCGGCAGACGAGGACGAGGAGAGGTATGATGCAGGCCCGACATCAACGGACTATGAGACGAAAGTTATCGAGGCTGTGGAGATGCAGCGCCACCGCATTCCCAAGGCGAAGGAGCAGAGAGTGAGTTGACGCGACGATCCTGCTCTTTGCGACATGCGCTTACCCCGTGCAGCTTGGATCTCTTCGCGTTCCCAAGTTTTTCAGATTCATTCCCACGATCTACGACCCCGAAACCTTCGAGCCCACCGAGGAGGATATCGAGAACGCCAAGGCCGACACGCCGAAGCACGATATCCGCGTGCGCAGACAAGGCAACAAGCTGCAGAGCAACGCCATGATTCACAGATGGAGCGACGGTTCAGTGACCATTACCGTCGGCGACGAGCACTTGGAGGTCACCACGAAGGCCCTGGCACCGGGCCCCGAGCAGCCGTACTCGGACCTCCAGGACGGTCACTACTACGCGGCCGCAGCTGAATACTCCAGCAACTTCCTCATGTTCGTTGGCCACGTCACAGACCAGTTCATAGTACGTCCTGGCAAGGAGGTCCAGGATGACGCACTTGCTGCCCTCGCAGAGCGCATGGCCACAGTCACGCAGAAGCCCCAGGAGAAGGACATGATTATCAACACCATCCAGGACCCCGAGCTCAGGAAACGACAGGCCGAGCAGGCGGAGAAGGAGCGCATGAAGGCGCAACGTCGTCGCGAGACGGCGGCTGCCAAGTTGACGGACTCCAGCAGGGGTTACGGCCGCGGGGGCGGTCTTTCCATTGGAGACCTGGAAGGACGCCGCGGTGCCGGCCGTAAGAGGCCTGGCGCACCGAAGCAGAAGAGGAGACGTCCCGAATACGACTCCGATGATGATCTTCCCTCGGGCGCGCGCAGGCAGGATGACTATGACATGGAGGACGACTTCATTGTTGGTAGCGACGACGAAATCAGCGAGGGTCCGGATGACGATAACGAAGAAATCCTGGACGACGACGATGAGGACGAGAGGCCGCGATCCAAGAAGCGACAGAAGATGTCTGACGACGAAGATGCCGATGGCGACGAGGACGATATGATGGAGCCGAGCGGCAGAGGCAGACGTCGCCATGTCGTGGACGACGATGATTCGGAGTAAGGGGGTTTCAACTGGACAGCCACATCACCAAAAGAAGACGGCGCATTTGCCATTTGTATAATATCAGAAGTTTCTTACAAGCATGATGGGCGAGACGGGCGGCCCATAGACACTGAAAACAAAATGCACGATATCCCACGTCTTGTCCCTCAATCCCCCATGCAATGCCAGCTTCAAGTGCCGTGAGGTCTAAATGATGAGCTCACCGGCCGCTGTTTGAAAAGACACACGCTGCCAGATGCGGCTAGGCTTGGTTCTGGCGTCGCCAACGGTGGAACACGTGCTGCAATGGGCGAAATTCTTTGTCATGGGCGGAAATAGGCCGTTATCGGTGCGATTGACTTTGTTGGGGGCTCACCAGCATTGGCACTCTAGAACGGTGGCTCGCAGCGACTCAGTCCAACACATGAAGAGAGTTTCGTGGGACGGAACGGCGGATAAGGCGTTGCTGTGGAATAAGGTGCGACGGAATGGTCTTGCAGCGGGCGAAGTTGACGACGGGAAAAAGGTATTGTCACATGTCGACAGCTAGCGCCAAGCACCACCAGCGAAGACAGTGATTGACTACGTACTGGGCGGGCAGTTGGCCAGCAGTGGTGGGCATGCAGCAAAATGGATGGATGGATGACATGGGACAGCAGCATAACCAAGCACCACAGCCAAGCACTGGACTGGACACAGGTAGCTGAGGGAGCTGCTCGTCCGGCCCCCAACCCTCCACCACCAGCTCGGGATGCTACACGACCTGACGCTGTGTGTAGGTGGTTGTGTGGGGTTGGGGGTCTCGTGGTCTGCTGCAAAGAAGCAATGGGCAAGAGCACCTGATACTATCCGCTACAGTCCGCCCCCCGGGCAATCCAATGCGCTCCAATGGAGCCTGACGTCTGCTTCCCCAGAGTCTCCAGACCACAGACATTGGCTGGGATGCGCACTGCGGATGCGGGAGCCACGGCAAACCCGGACTTTGCATGCGCTTGCTGCTGCTGCCCTTGTCCATTTCGTACCTTGAGTAAGGTAGGTAACCTACGGTACTGTTCCAGTGTTCCTTCAATTTTTTTTTGAGCCGAGCCAAACCACTCTTACACGCCACGGACTTGACAGACGGGTAGCTCGCGAGGAAGGTCGAGGTAGGTTAGCACCGAACGAATGACCCAAGGCACCTACCTACCTGGCCTGAGCTGGCCTGGTCTGACTTGCCTGACCTGACTCTCTTTTTATTTCCAGCCTTGGAAAGGAACCAGGGAGAAGAGAGCAAAAAATAAAAAAGAACACACGGGCTTCAGGTAGCACCAGGGATCGTACAAGGCTCCCAGTGTCTCCAGTCCGTCTACCTACTTCATCTACCTAGCGCCCATCGTACGCCCGCTCGTTCGTCCTCCACGCTCCTTGATTACCTTTTAGTCTTCCTATTCCCTTTTCAAGACTTCTCTGCAGACGGTCCAAGACATTCTGTTATCTTCATCTCTCCCCTTATCACGGTGTCCTCTATCGCTCGACGAATACTGCCTGCCATCCCACCTGTCTCTCCCGTTCAACGCACCATCCTGACCCGACCTCGGTATTGGAATGCAATCACCCGCCTAGTCGAGACACGACGCTCGTCACGCTCCACCCGACCATTATGCCATAATGCCATGACCACCTCTCATAACTTATCACTATCCTCATTAGCATTGCTTTCCCCCGCCAGTTTGGGATTCTCCATGGTCTACACCGTTCGAGTCGCCGCCGTCGCGCAACAATGGGGGTCGTCGTCGCGCTCTGGCAAGTAGCCGTAGACGTCACGCAGTTCTGGAATAAGGTACGTGGCATACTCAACAACTCTTCCTGACGCTGGTCGTTGCTACCGCCGCAGCAGCAGCTTCTGCAGCTGCCTGTCGGCCGAACGCCGAAACCTGGGACGAGCCGCGGCTGACCTTTGATGCGTCGTTGCGCACATGCAGAAGCTCCGCGATTGGTATACCCGCAAGACCCCCGTCGAACTATGGCTGGAGCTCCTCCGCCATGCCGAAGCATTCGAGGATTGGGAAGAGGCCGCCCTGCACCTCGACAACCTGCTTGGATTGGACTTGTGGTAAGGAGCTGTAGCTTCCAGCTTTCGTGTCTCAGATGCACATGCTAAAGCTGTTCCGGCGCAACAGGAGAAATAACCCAACGTCAAAATACTACGATTACCGTCTGATCAACGAGCGTCTCAACTCTCTAATCACTGCCAGGGAGGATGGCAACCTTAATGCGCTGGTCAACCTCCTTCGCTCCGGCCTGGTGCGGAATCTGGGCAACATCACCTCGCCTACCCTGTATAACCGATCCTTCGCCGGCACCAAGTATCTGATCGAAGAATACATCACCCAAATCGCCGAGGCGGTCGAAGACATCACTCATTTGCCGACCACCCCGCCCTCCGACGGCAATGGCGCCCCCATCGGGTTGACAAACCAGATGAAGTTGGATTTCATCCACGATACTAGACAAGCTTTTGGCAGGAGCACCCTCGTCCTGCAAGGCGGTGCGATATTCGGAGTTTGTCATCTGGGAGTTGTGAAAGCGCTGTTTCTTCGGGGGTTGTTGCCGCGCATTATTACTGGTACTGCTACGGGCGCCCTGATCGCAGCTCTGGTCGCCATTCACACCGAAGAGGAACTTCCGCACGTGCTCAAAGGAGAGGGCATCGACTTGTCCGCCTTTTCTGGGAAGTCAAAGTCTGAGAAGGGGCCGCCAAAGGAACAGTCTTATGCAACGAGGTGGAGCACTCTGTTAAGACGGATTAGGAGGTTCTCTCGGGAGGGTTACTTCCTCGACGTTAAAGTTCTTGAGGAGTGTGTGCGAGCTAACGTCGGCGACTTGACGTTCGAGGAGGCGTATAACCGGAGCAAGAGAGTACTCAATATTACAGTTGCAACGGCTGGACAGGGCGGCGTGCCAACGCTGCTCAACTACCTGACAGCACCGAATGTGGTCAGTAGACATTGCTGCTCAAACACTGAATCAGGACTAACGCTTGTGCAGCTTATCTGGACCGCGGCAGTGGCATCCAATGCCTCCTCGGCTAGCCTGTACGGCCACAGAGAGACAACAGTTCTCTGCAAAGACGCACACGGAAACATTGTGCCATGGGCACCCGCAAATACGATCGACTTCCGACATTGGACCCATGTATCGTATTCCGATCGAGAGTCGCCGCTTCTTCGAATTGCTGAACTGTTCAACGTAAATCATTTTATCGTCAGCCAAGCCAGGCCTTATCTCATTCCCTTTTTGCAAAGCGACATGCATGGTCCGTCGCTCATGGAGACGCGTAACAGCACGACCTCGATAACGGCCTTTATGGTCCGTATGGTTGGCCTAGAACTCAGACATCGCTTACGACAGCTCGATACACTGCACCTGCTGCCCGCAGGTATCCGCCGCTTCCTCGTCGACGAGATCGTGCCAGGAGCGTCCATGACGTTGGTGCCAGAGGTGACCGCTGGGGACTTTGTACGCCTGCTCGAAACACCCACGAGAGAGACGCTAGACTATTGGATATCGCGGGGCGAGCGAAGCGTTTGGCCCGCGGTCGCTGCGCTGCGTATCCGTTGCGCAGTCGAAAACGAACTAGACAGGTCATACCAGACTGTCCGAAGATTCAAGGCTGGCGGTCTGCGGAGGAAAGGTTCAACAGCGGCGGCGGCGGCGGCGGTGGCAGCAGCAACGGTGGTAGGAGGGGCATCCACGCTTGAGAAGGATAGGAGATCAAGCAGCGTCGGGGCCGCATACTGATGGCGTCAAAGAGTGAAAGGATGTAAGAAACCGTCATCCAGCCAAGCACAGCAAGGGTGATACGCAGCCCAGGTTTCGGATGCCGTCCTGGTGCATGCGACGGATGGCTGAGGCGCATCCTTACCTCATGGACGCGGCGTTTGGGGGCGGCGCATGTACAGATACAAATCATCGTGGCTGACCAGGAGCACGGTGGATATGCATGGAACACTGAAAGAACGGGGCGGCGTTGGAGGCGTGGAGGCCACAGGGGTGGACATGCACAAGATATGTCAGCAGACGAAGGAAACAAGATATTCTCGAAGACTACCTCTTTCGGATGGTCGGTCAGGGAAGAGTCGATCAGGCTGAGAGGGACGGTGTGCTGCAGCAGGATGTTCAGCTGTGCTGGGTCGTGTTGGGTCTCAAGCCTCTCTTCCAGAAAGCTGCATGTAAGCGGCGGGAGGAACTATCCGTAGGAAGTATGTACGTTCCAAAAGACGCGTCTCTCCAATGACGAGGCGGATGACCATTGCAAAAAAATGAAGAACTCTTGGCGTCAAACCAAACTTGGATACCGATCGGTGAAGGGAGGTGTGCTCTGCGTTGTTGTTTTGCTTCTAGAAGAATGCCTTGCCGCTAGAACACACCTTGCCGCGCACCCGCGCGCGCACACAAGCTTCGACACGCCTCATTTATCCCTCATACTCAAACAATCTACCTACCCATCTCTTGACGCCTCCGCAAGCCTCATCAAGCGGCCCGGAATGCTCCCCAAGACTTCCCCGGGGCGAACCCTGCGTCAGGAAGGCTGGCTTCACACCACCTTCGTCGACGAGAAAGGAGGCACGGGCAGTGAATGATGTGAGAGGACGGGGAAGAAAGGAAGACATGCATGTTCTGTCTGGGGTGCCGGCACAGATGCAAGGGGATCTACGACGTGACGGCGCTAGAACACTTCTCGAAGGCCACGGGATCGCTTCCATTGGGACGGGGGGAGGGGCTCAGCGTCCTTGCCCGCTCACGAAGTGGGGGCTTTGGCTTCCGAAGGATTCACACTGGAACTGCGGTGCTGCGTGAATACATCATCGTTCGTATTGTCTTGGCTTGTGGATGTTGTTTCCGCAGCTTCGAGAAGGAGTGAGGACCTGGGAGGCAGTATTTCCCGCACTTTGTTCGGTCACGAGAAGACATGGTTCGATGATGGATCTTGGATATTGCGATGAGGGGGGCCTGATTCGATTGCCTCGAGGCGATTCGCGACTTGCGATATGTGATGCGTTGTTTTCTTTCGGAGGTCCATCGCCGGGGAAGAGTTCCGGGGCTGGGCGAGATCATGTGTCTCAATTGCGACCTCGATGGCCAGGGGACTGCGGTGTTTAACGGCCTGCGTTTCCTACCAGGGTCCTGTGCTGGTTGGACCGTAATTCGAGTTTCCTCGTGTGGATTTTTTTGGAGGGTGACATGCGCCCGTCCTCTTGTTTCCTTGGTTGGTGCGATCTAAGACCTGCGTCGGGCTAGGACGATGGTAGGACTGTAGTCGCACTTGCGGTCCCACTGGACCGTTGGGGAGTAAGGTATGGAGACAATGCCCGCCCCGGATGGCCCCCAAACCCCAGGTCCTAGGACGTGTTGTTGCGCCCGAGAATTGTGGTGCTCGGAGCAGCGTCCGTCAGTGCTTTCGGCGCAAGCCGGGCGCTTTATTGAATCAGATGACAGGAGAGCGGCGTCGAAGATCTTTCCCTTCGTTACCAATGTGTCGAACCCGTGCTTCTTTTTCAGGCTGTGATGCTGCTTGAGAAAATCTGTACAATGATGCACCTTTCAGTGGCAGTAAAGGATTCGGGGGTATATTTCCCTGTGATAACGAACGGTTCTGAGGTTCGTAAGCATGCAGGACGTTGCAGGGGGGACTCGGAGTCGCCGTTGCAGTATGCAGCCGTCCTAGAGCTGCGGGAACGCAAAGACGGCGGGTTGATGCATTTGGGCCTGGGGACACATCCAACCTATCAACCGATCCGTGATGTTTGACTGATTTGAATTCAACGCGAGGGCTTGAAGACGTCGTGGTGATTGCACGTTGTCCTCGTCACGTAGGCCAGGGTCTGATCTGCGACACTTGGAAGATCAGTGCCGTTCAATTGGGCTGATGCGAACCAAAGTATCTGTACCCGGCCTGTCATCGTCCAGATGACTTGGTTAGCCATGCAATATTTCTGATCCCTGACAACTTGCCCAATAGACAGCCTTGCTGTGATGCACCACACTGCGTAATGGTTCAATGACAAATCTCCAAGGCTCTCGCAACAAATACATCGGAAGCCGAATATTGGGAGTTGGGTAAGCTCATGTGGACCGCTCAAGTTGGCTGAAGCCGCCGACTGTGTATGTCTCGGGCACCGTTAGCTATCCGATCGGCGCGAACCTCCGATATATGGAGTACTCGAAGCCAAGCATCGGCGAGCGCGCGCGTGTTCAAGCCATCGCGTGGCATTGGCAATAACGTGGGATAAGGTGAGTGAGTCACTGGTGAATCCATGGCAAGGCCAGGCCGCGACAGCGGTCAAGTCGATTAGCTGGCCGCCGGCGTGTTTCATGCCGACAAGCAGCGATTCCGGATTCGTTGAAGGTGTACGATGGTAAAGATAGGAGAGCGCCGTTGTTAAAGATAGGTGCGATTAAGCATGTCTTCGGTGTAGGAGACAACCGACAGTAGCCGTTGACTCCACAAGGCCAACCTCGTCGATCACATCGGTCGTCCAACTCGGATGGCAGAATCTCAATGGCATCGAGAGTCTCCGAAGACGGCGTGCTGTGAGCTTGATAATGCACAAGATGAATTCAAACAAGCAGCGGGATGGCGTCAAGTGAGCATGTGCCATGGTTGTGTGGGTTGCACAGCCGAAGGGAGCTCAGGGCCTCGAGGAAGCTGATTCGAGAGACCTCAAGTCGCAAGGCTTGTGTTGCTGTCCAAAATTATGGAATGGAGTATAGTCAGTGGTCAATGTTTGTTGATATGTTCAGCAGCTCGGTGAATGAGCCCGAGAAGGGGGTCATCGCGATGATGGTGATGATGATCTTGAACGCAACGTGACTAAAGCAGTAGGCCGGTATGAACTGCATGCTTGCTCAGAAGCCAAGCGTCGGCGGTGCTTGAGGTGTTGGAGCAGTGGGGTCAATGACATACCGCACCTGTCGTAGATTTTGGTACACACAGTACTTTTTAGCTGCAGATTTGCAGGGGCGCAGCGCATGGATGTAAGTAACTAGACTTCAGAACACGATGCTCGACAGACGCAGCTGTCACCTCGAAGTCTAACAGCAGTCTAACACAGAGCTGGGAGACGCGAGTGTCATTGCGTCAATGGAATCCCTGTAAGGCCAATGGCGCGCAATGAAACTTGGGCAGTGAATCGTCCGCCGTTTCCTTGACAGTTGTAGCACTGTCTTAGCAGCTGAGACACCGCAAAGTTGATCGTTGAGTGGGTGTAACCTTGATTTCGGAGGAAACAAGACGAGTCGACGCGATGGCATTGGCCAGGAGTACGAACACCCGAGAAAGAGGGTCCGGTCGAGATTCTCGGGAGAACATGGCAAGACGAAGAGTGAGGCTTGCGTGAAGGAACTGGGGGAAGAAAAGGGTGGTGAAGGTAGACGAAGGGAGAGAGCAATAGGCGAAGAGACGGCAGTCCGACCTGAGGCCAAAATCCGAAGCAGGAGCTGCCAAGGGGATGAAAATGCCTTGCCGTGTGCCAAGGCCAGTCGCGGACGTCTTGTTCCCGCGTGGATTAGCGAGCGGAAGTTTTGGTAGCTGCATTCTGGTCATGGGCGAAGGTGGACGAAGATGCGACTTCATCGAGGCGAGTGTGTGTATTCGTACTGCCGAGGCAGGTACAGACCCGGGAAGGGAAACAGACAGAATTGAGTGCACAGTCAGGACCCTTGGGATTTGTGTACCTGCTGCTGAAGTACCGGAGGTAGTCCCGTCCAAAGTCCAGGGAAGGGAAAGAGCTGAGCAATAGTCAAGGTACGGTATTTGAAAAATGGAAGAGACAGGAAGATAGACACTCGAAAGGACTCTGCAGAGGATCCCCACACGCGTCAATTGCTGCCCGTGCTGTCGCTGTCTCGGCGGTTACTCCGCGCAGTCAACCCACTGCACCTAGAAGCCGTATGTGTGAGTGTACAGGTACCTGCCCAGTCCCCACATCAACCCATCCCACCTAACTTGCAGTGCAGCTGCTGCGTTGCATGCAGCGCATGCCACTGCCGCCCATCTCACCTTCTTCTACCTCACTGCTTCAGGCTCAGACTCTTTGCGGGTGAAGTCGTAAAGAGACGACAAGAAATGGCACGTCCAGAATGGCTGACTCTCGTCCACCCCTTCCGTCACCACACACCCTACACGCCAATGCATCTTCAGCCAACATACATATAGGGAGCTCCTTCCTACGTCGTCCACTCCTCCTCGACTTCTCTTCCCTCAAGAAGCAAATTTGTTATTATATCAAGCCGATACTCCTTTCCATTAGTCTCATAGACGTTTGTAAAAGGCCATCCTGGAACGGATAGCACCCTCTGGCCTTCCTCAAAAGAGAGCCATCTCCCTCGAGCAACTGGTGTCCTCGAACCACTTGCTTGCCCGACCCGTCACCACTCACCTCACTCTTTCCCTCTCAAGAAAGCACATTGCCCACTTGGATCACTCCGCAGAGTCTCTGGTAAGTCGACACTATTACCTCTTGCCCTGGGCCGGGACTAACATCGTACCCTTCAGCAGCAACCCTCATCCAGCATCACTCGACGGCTGGACTCCAGACCATCCCGATAATACGTCCTTTCCCTCAAGACACACAACACACAAAGTCCGATATGGATCGCCGAGAAGGTCACAAGCACACGCACATCCCCTTCCACGTCGCCATCGACGAGTTCAAGAACGAAAGCCGCTTCGAGGAGGCCCGCAGTCCGCAAAGACTTGACTCGACCGAGTCTTCCTCCACCATTGCCCATGGTCGTGTTGCCCTAGACTCCCGGCCTCAGACTCCAGGCTATCACTCCTGTGAAAGCGACGAGGACATTGTTCTCATCGACCGTTCTGAGACCATCTCGGGCCCCCCTTCTGTTGCCACCGACAATACTGTAGTCAATCGAATGCCGTCCACCGCATCCCAACCTTCGATGGTGCTTGGCACTGAGCTGACTTCGGGCAACATGGTCCTCCACAACCTGATCCAGCCTCTCGGCACCATGACCACCTACGAATGGGTGCATGGTCGGAGGTGCCCCGGAGACTTGGACGTCAAGGACATCTCGTCCAAGGAGAGCATCAAAGTCCGCTGCCACTCCCGCGTTAGTCAATCGACCGCCGCCATCGAGGATGAGTACGGCATGGTCAACCATCCCTCCGAGTCGTTCGTCGCATGCGCCGGTGACTGGGCCGACGTTGCCGCTCTGCCCGCTTCGTTCGACAAGACCCTGCGCATCTGAGATGTCGTGCTTCCCACCCCCACGGTAGAACCTCCTTACCGAACGCGCTCCAGGCTGTTTGGGTCATCAGCCCGTCCTACCTCGACTTGCTGCTGCTCCAAGTGGCTGGTTTGGTATCGATGTTCTTTCTTTTCGTTTCCCTCCTTTTCAGTCCTTGTCTGAAGTTTGTAGTGTGTAATGGATGATGTTGTTTGGAGAAAGCAATCACAGTCGTTTCTTGGAGAAGCCGGTCCCCGTCCTCTTGTACACTAGCATGCACTTTAGTGTAGCATTGGAATGTCAATCCCTGATCGTCACCCCAACCCTCGTCAGCGTTGCCTTTTCTCCCGTCACCGAGCCCATTTAATCTCGGCCGTCACCGTCCCCCAGATCGCCCCCCAGTCTCTCCAATAAGTCTTTGTCATGCGGGGGAAAGCATCCCCCAAAGCGGGCCGGACTTGGAGACGGCGTAGTATTCGCATGGGACGAACTCATCTCCCCAAATTTCCCCACGGGCAGTTGAATTTAGCCTGAACTTCAACCGGGTTCAACCCCCCATTATCCATCACCCATCAATTCCGTATTGCCGGAACATCGCGTGTGCCCACATGGCGAGCGCAGCAATACTCCCAATTGGAAAGCTTGTTATATTGAGGGGCAACCAGGCACAATGAGATCAAAGGTAGCATGCCTTAAATACCACTCCCGGCCCCCGTAGCTGGAGCTTCTTGGAGCGTGCCATCCGCTGGGTGACTTTGAGGCTCTCACGATGTTGTTCTCGCTCAAGACGGCCCTCGCGGCCTTGCTCATCGCATCGCCATTGACCGAGGCAGCGCACTCGCGCTATCCCACTCGGGATGAGAAGGAATGGGTGACTGTCTGGGGCACTATGCCTCAGCTCGTCGAGCCGGCCAACCTGCCTCCGGCGCCGTTTGTAAGTGCACCTCTCCACGACTTCCTTCATCCGCTGACACTTTGCAGAACGAAACAGGCCGCGTTTTCAACGACGCAACCCTCCGCCAAACAGTCAAGCTCTCCCTGCCCTCGTCCACCCTGCGCCTCCAGATAAGCAACGTCTTCGGGGGCTCCGACCTACCCATCACGGCCGTCACAATCGCCCGCACCGCGAACAACACGGCCGGCACGAGCGCCATCGACGCCGCCTCGCTCCAGATCGTCACCTTCTCCGGCAGCGGCACCTTCGCCGTCCCCAACGGCGCCGTCGTCTTCTCGGACCCCATTGACCTCCCCGTCGACGCCAACGCCGTCGTCTCCGTCACAATCTACCTCGCCGACGGCCAGTCCACCAACAGCATCACCGGCCACCCCGGCTCCCGCACCACCTCCTTCCTCGCCGCCGGCAACCGCGTCGCCGACCAGGACCTCGGCGGCAACGCCACCGCGACGGACCACTGGTACCTCATCAGCGCCATCGAGGCCCAGGTCCCCAAGGGCTCCTCCGCGGCGGTCGCCATCGTCGGCGACTCCATCAGCGACGGCCGCGGCTCGACCACCAACGCCAACAACCGCTGGCCGGACCGCCTCCTCGCGCGCCTGCAATCCTCCAACTCCTCCTCCGCCACCACGCGCAACATCGCCGTCGTCAACCAGGCCGCAGGCGGCAACCGCGTCCTCGCCGACGGCCTCGGCCCCAACGCCCTGGGCCGCCTCGACCGCGACGTCGTCGCCCACACTGGCGTGCGCTACGCCGTGATCTTCGAGGGCGTCAACGACATCGGCGTCGCGGCCAACGACACCGCCTCGCAGACCGCCACCGGCGACCGCCTCCTCCTCGCCTTCGACCAGATCGCCACGCGCCTGCACCGCTTCGGCATCCCCGTCTTTGGCGCGACCATTACGCCCTTCACCGGCGCCGACCAGCCGTACTCGGACCCCGAGCGGGAGAAGACGCGGCAGCGCGTGAACGAGTGGATCCGCACCTCGGGGCGGTACGATGCCGTGATCGACTTTGACGCGGCGGTGAGGGATCCCGCGGCGCCGGAGAGGTTGAGGGCGGAGTTTGATACGGGGGATCACTTGCATTTGAACCCGGCTGGGTATGAGGCCATGGCTGCGGCGGTTGATTTGAGCATTTTTGAGAAGTTTAAGGATGGGGTGTCGAGGTTGACGTGAGTGTTGGGAGGTGTAGGTGGAGGGCGATGTTGTATGTAGGGATAGAAATAGAAGTCATCTGGTCCTCGGTATGTGGATTCGGGTTTTGAAAGTAGTGACTGTCAAAGAGTGAGCTCTGCTCTGATACCGGCAACAGTTGTGTCATCGAACATGGGGACAATGTCATGTCGTGGAACTGCAAAGGAGTTCGTGATCGAGGATTCGGTTCCGCATCCTTGGCATATCTAGGTTTAGAGGACTCCGTCTTATAGAGCATGCAGCCCCCAAAGTCGACAGGTACCGGAGAAGATGTAAATTGGTTTTTTGTCAAGGTTAAAAGGGATCAGGTTCTTATAGAACCCACGTTGCCAAAATAATGAACTGATAGCACTGCCCGCCTTTAGGCATCCACGCTGACATATCTAGCCAAGCTGCCAAAGTCCCCGGCAGCACCCCTCAATTTCCACGGCGGGGTGGCATTCAGATGCCACCTCGTCGTCAAGGGGGAATAAATGTGAATGATTGGATTACGGCGCAGGTTTGTATGTTTTGCACATTCGGCGAACTCCTTGTTCTCTTCTTTCACTGCATTTTTAACCCCCGCCATGCAGGTAGATGACTGCCACTACTACCATCCCAAGACATCCAGTCATTGGTTCACTCACATACGCACACAGGAACGCCATTTGAATATGGTGAACCCGCAAAGAAAATCACGATTGAGGAGTCAATTCTATACATGTAGCTACGTCTAGGTCTGGGGATCTTGCTCGACAGCACATCCTCAACGAAATTCATTAACAGACAATCTCAAGGTGTCATTTGATTCCTCATATCGGATGCTGAGGTATGAAGTGTTTCTACTCTCTTCACCTCATATCCCATCAACCTAGTCTTTAATCTTGTAAGCCCAATGTCACTGGTAGACAATACGCACGGGTAGAATACCTAGACAGTTGTGTACCAGAGACACAGGACTTACCTCCCAGATTAAAACCACTTGACGGGATCCAACACCCCTACGTTGAAACGTCAAGCCGTAGCCCGCTCGAAGCGGCATCGACCACACTGCTCGCGGCCGACCGACCGGACGGGCCGAGCTCCACACCGGAGCCGGTGGGGTCTTCCTCCCGGACGGCCCTTCGGTGGCGGGGTTTCAAACGTCCCAAGTAGTGATCCAGACCCTTGAACGGAGGCCTATGGAAGGCGTCTTGGATGCTTTCCAGTGACCGGCCGCGCGTCTCAGGCATGTAAGCTGCCAGGACAGCGGTTGTACCGAAGGCCAGACCGGCGAAGAGGAAGTAAGCCCCAAAGGCGGACTTGTCGAGGAGGATAGGGGTGATCATGGCAACGATCCAGTTGCAAAGCTATGCGACTGTGTGAGCCAAGTCCCTCGAGAGTCTTTGAAAACGCAACACTTACAAAGTTGACACCGGTCCCCACACAATTTGCTGCGGCGCGGGTGTTCCCTGGCTGGATCTCGCTGGCGTACACTTTGCCGACAATGTTCCATGTCGCGGAGTACGTGAGGCCGAAAGCGAACACACAGATGATGACGACCCATCGGGCGGTACCGTATGGATGGACGACCCCAGAAGCGTACAGTATGCCAATCAACAGCATGCAGCATGTTAAGCCGACGCCTCCTGAGATGGCCGAGGTCCGCCGACCCCATTTATCGGCGAGCAAGAACGCCGGGACAGAGATGGCTAGCATCAGAATCGCGGACAACCCTGAGGCTAAGAAGGCGGCGGTTTCCCCTGGGAGACCAGCTCGTGCGAACAGAATCGGTGCGTACTTGGCTGCGTCAGTGGATTATAGAAGCAACCGCTGAGAAGACTCACGTAGACAACGCCGTCGATGCCAGACAGCTGAATCATTCCGAGAATGAAGATGGCCAGGGTTGTCCTAGTACGGTATCCTCTCTTGAATAGCAGGGTAAAGCTCTGCCATGGGGAAAGACTAGGCTTTTGCTCCGATTGCGAAGTAGAGAGAAAGTCCCGCTCAGCTTCGGCTCTGGAAAAGTCGAGTCGTTCGAGGGCGCGCATAGCGTCAGCTCGACGGCTGTGAAGGAGTAACCACCTCGGTGATTCGGGGAGGACGAGGCTGCCGGCTCCGAACAAGACAGCGCAAACACCTTGAATTACATAGGGCAGCCGCCAGGACAAGCTTGAATCGATATTGACGGTCCCGTAGGCGGCAAAGTATCCAACACAGACTCCCGCGGTCGACATGAACTGAGGGAGCGCAGCCAACATACCCCTGGATCTGGCGGGGGAGATTTCGCAGATGTAGACGCTCAAGTTGGCCAGAAAGACTCCCTCGCCGAGGCCAGCCAAAGCCCTTCCAAACATGAAGTGCGGCAGCGTGTATGCTGTACCCTGGAGCAACACCCCGATTCCGAATAAGACAGCCCCCGCAACGTTCAATTTCAGGCGTCCGAACCTATCTGCGAGGTACCCGGTCAAGACGGATGGAACGGCCCCCGCAAGCATTATGAGTGAGACTGTGAAACCAACGAGAAAGGGGCTCAAGTTCCCTATCGACTCTTTGAATTGAGACATGGCTGTTATCGCTCCGACAGAGCCTGTGTCGAGGCCATTCGCAAGCCCTCCAAGTGAGATGGCCAAGGAAGCGAGGACGTACTTGGGAACTCGTTTGGGAGACATGATGAATAAGTAGAAATCAAATTTGTCTACGGAGTTCAAAGATGGAATGAATATGGAAAGTTGTCTACAGAGGACAACTTCAAATAGGTAGCTCAGTCATGCGGTTAGTTATTTGTTTCCCGCGCCGATGGCCGGCCGGAGGGGTTACGGTTCATGTTCTTCGAGTGACGTTGCAGAAACGTACCCCGCCCGTCAAACGGGCGCTTTAATGCAGCCAAAAGTTCTAACTCGCCTGAAATTGGTGGTCAGAAAGACCATTGTTTGTGTGCATGGCGCTGACGATCCCACCCTCACGAACTCGGATCGAGATGTGACCAGACACCTCGGTGAGCCTCGGTGAGGAAGCCAAGGTCGGACATGGGCACTGTGACACTTGTGGGAAATTACGAAACTTCCTCGGGTTTGAACGAGATGTGGTCCTTTCGAGAAACAATTCACCGGTCGCTTAACATATTCAAATGCAATCAGAGTTAAATAGTTAGCAAATGATTACCCATTGCCAATCAAGAGGAGTGGACGTCATCCAGCGGAGGTACGTAAGATCTCAGAGCACGGGCCATGTCGATAACGATAAGGCGGCGGACAATTAATTCAATCTACTCCTGAACTGGACACGGCGCATTCAACACATCCCTCCCTCCGCTTGAAGTCGATTCCTCGTGATACACTTCCAGTCGCGGTCGACCACGATTTTAATTCGCATGAAGTTTCTTTGAGTTCTAGCCACTCCTTTGGACACAGTTCTGGCTCCGCAGAGCCCGCCCCTCCTTTCCGTTCTCGATGCCTTGTTCCCTTCTCACCCAGCGCCATGGACGGTGATCCGAAGGTCGAGTCGGAGCTCGACTCGTTCAGCTTGACCTTTCCCCTGCCCTATCGCATTGGGTTTATTATCATACTGGGTTAGTCGCCAATACCTAGTGCTGAGAGAACGGGACTGACCGCAAGATAGCCGTTTGGGGTTGGGGAGTGAACCTCCACTGCCTTCACAAGTTCAAAATCGACGTGCCCACCTTGATTCGATACCCTACACGATCCTCTCCGACGGAGCCGGCGCATCACCTCTCGACATACCGCCTCGCGACCGTCCTGTCCACCGTCTTCTTCCTCTCGATCTCGACGTTCTGGATCTTCACCCGTCGTACACCCTCCCTCGTTATCGAATATGACTGGCTGCCGATGACATATTTCGTCGCCCTCGCGGCCATCTTCTTCGTCCCGATCCGCAGCTTCTCACACGGCGGGCGCTCGCGGTTCCTTGCGACGCTAAAGCGCGTGAGCATCGGAGGGATCGCGCAAGCTCAGGACGGCAAGTTCGGAGACATCCTGCTCGCCGATGTGTTGACGAGCTACTCGAAAATCCTGGGAGACCTCTACGTTGTCGTCTGCATGTTCTTCACGCCGTCTGGTTCCTCGACCGCTCGTCCTGACCGCAACTGTGGCGGAACTGTCATGGTACCGCTCATCATGGCCGTGCCTTTCGCGATCCGGTTCCGTCAGTGTATCATCGAATATCTGCGAGTAAAGAGGGCGCCGTATAAAGAGTCTGTCGGCTGGGGCGGTCAGCATCTTGCCAACGCAACCAAGTACGCGACAGCGTTTCCGGTCATTATCTTCGGCGCAATGCAGCGCAGCTTGCCGGCCGGCACGTCGGCGCCCGGGCTGAACAGGGCATGGCTGGTGGCAGCACTGATCAACTCGCTCTACTCTTGGTATTGGGATGTCGCCAAAGATTGGGACCTGACTCTCTTCTCCTCGGCCAGGGAGCGCAACAATCCGGAACATGCATTCGGCCTGCGGCGGCGACTTGTTTTCCAGCAGCCGGTCATCTACTACTGTGTTATCGGGATGGATCTGATGCTGCGTTGCACTTGGTCCATTAAGCTGAGCGCGACTTTGGACAAGTTCACCGACTTTGAGAGCTCCATTTTCCTTTTGCAATCTCTTGAGGTATTTCGACGGTGGGTGTGGATATTCTTCCGAGTCGAGACGGAGTGGCTTAGGAACAACACGTCGGGATTGGGAGTTGACGATATCTTGCTGGGAGACTACCAGGGCAAGTATGATTCTGACGAAGATTAGGGGCCCAGCAAGCCCCCTGATGAGAAAGATACTGTAATGTAGTGTGCGATTAGGAATCTCTGGAGTTATTGGCCTAGACGGAAGAGCGGTCAAAATCAGCGATCTGCTTGGGGGTCCGCAGGAGTTCGACACCTTTCATCGAGTCTATAGATTTTCTTCAAACGAATCTGTTCTATGTAAAGCTGTATATGCGATTATGACATGGGTATCTCCTTCGTTTATCCTCCAAGCATCCTGATCAGGTAGGCAACTTACTTACACAGGAATTTATCGCCCATTATTTCCTCCAACGCTACAATCCAATGCAAGGGCGTTTGTTCAGAGTGACCAAGACAGCCAAGGCCTTTTCGCTGTGTTCGGCGCCTTCAGCTTATTCAAGCAGTATCCGTTGTAGTTGCTTCTCCTTCGGCCGTCGCATTCGCACCGGCACCCGATGCCGCCTTCGATTGGTGGCGAGAATGTTTCGTTGCCAAGCCTTTGAGAGCCTTCTAATTGCCCTCCAGGCGCATTCGCAGGACACTGGAAGACGTCGTCATGTCTATATCCAAAGTCTTCGAAGTGGTGAACCTGGCTGGGGTCAAGGAGCATGCCCACAGCCAGTGAATGTACAGCGGCATCTCCCCACTAAATGCAACGACAAATCCCTGTTAGCGATCTTGTGCAACCCGGGCAGCGGCGTAGGGGAGGTATTCCGGGGAGCGGCTCGGCAGTCTCGAAAAGGAAGTGACTTCTTCTTTCCCAATTCACCCCGGCCGGCTTCTTCCTTCTTACACTCCCCAACACCATCATGTACCTTGACGTATTCTTCAACGCGTGCTTGTCGACTCACCCTCTCGAAATAGAACCCGCCTGTGCTTTCGAGCGTCCTGAAGAACGACTGGTATTGTTTGCCCCTGAAGAAGTCGAGGTCGGCTATCTCGAAATTGCTCCAGTAATGGCAGCCGCTCCAGGCGTCACCAAACCGATCGCGATGCGGTAGAACACTCATCAAAGATCTCAATGGGTACGGCAGCCAGGACGGCTCCATCATCGCCGTCCAAAGCGACGATGACGCGATGTCGAAGGCCTCCTTGAATTCGGCCGTGTGTCGGAACAGCGATGGAACCGTGGCCCATTCCTCCCAGAGAGACAATGTGAAGCCGTACACCTTCTTGCGCCGGGCCATTTCGACGAACGGATCGTATGTTATCGAGCAGTAGAAATCGACGTCCGGTTCGAGTCGCCAGTACCACTTGTACTTTTGGAGTACTTCGAGGTGGTAGAATTTCCTGCGTTGCTTTCGGTGAGTCTCTGTCCTCAAGTACACGGTACCTGCCCAGCCTTTCTTACTCACCCTGAATAGAACCGGCACATGTGGTGGTAGCCTTCTTGCCCAGCATGTATCGTTCCACGTGCTCCCTGCTTGGCGATGCTCTCCTTTGCTGCTGTTTGGTTGAGCCACGTCGGAAACGTCCAATCCTCCCGTTGTATTGTCTCGAATGTCACATCTCCGCTCGATGTACTCCCCAGCACCTCCATGAACCTGTCGTCGAACGGCTCGTCGTTGAGGAACACGATTGGGTAATGGAACCATCGATTGAAGTGCCTCTCGAAAGATGCGACGGTATGGTTTGCGGCTTCGAGCTCCAAGTTTCTCGCCAGCATGACAATTACTCCGTTCTCGCGGTTGCCATTCACGTCTGGCTCACGACACGACGTGTAGAACGGCTCATCTTGCTCTTCGACCGGCACTGGTACCCTGAACCTGCTACAGTGGTACGCAGACTCGAGCAGCCCAATAGCAAGGAGTACCCAGACCCAGATGGGCAGACGGAAGGACGTCGGTCGTCGTCGCGGACTCACGTATCGGCGAATCATGGCCTGCACAATGGGAGCTCGCAAAGACTTGCTACTTCCTCTCCGGCTTTGTTGATTGTTGCATGAACTTCCTATTTCCTATTCGGCTCACAAGCAAGGAGAATCTCAGGTCAGGAGGAATGCTAAGCTCCCTAGGCACCCCAAGCGCTACCTCTGGAACAGATCCAAGACACACGGGTAAACTACGACCCAGTTGGCGCGCGCAGAATGTTTGGCTGCGAACGCGATTGACCGCGACCGCAGTCGCAAGCCCGTCTGTACATAGACACATGGCGTAGCTGACGCCAGCTTGACTCGAAGAAGCCCGAGCTGACGCACGCCAGACGCATACTGACACCAGCCAGGAGATTGAACCTGTGCTGGCGCTGTCTGGACCACGGGAGTTACGAAGAGAGGGAGAAAGCGGGAGGATCCCCCCTGGCTAGCCTGAAGATCGTCTGCAAGCCATCAGTCAAAAGATGGGACGGCATTGGCTCATCCCTATCCAGTCTGCCCAGTGCTCGAGCTAGCTGCAGGATATGCCCCCCGCACGGGTAACCACGTACCCAACGCGGGACGGACAGTTAATGAGCCGCCATGAGAAAAGGAGACCTCTTGTCTACTATTGCTCGCAGTTTCTTTTCCGCATCCGTGGAAGCATTGAGGCTGAGAGCTGTCTCGTCCAAGGCCAGTTCCGCTGGAAGGCTAGAGATGGCCAAAAGGAGCTCTGGTCACCACCCATCTATCCAGACTCGTTGCCAATCGCAACCTCATGTTCTACGATTGAGGATGTTCCTGGGCCGTCGGAATGGCCTTGAGATCTTCAGATCGCTGCACCATCATGCAGATCCCTCCGACTTCAGCCTTTCTTCAGCTTCCCCCACGGCTTGACAATTCACTGTGCTCAGGCTCGGCAACACCAGAAGATACTCCTTTCAATATCAGTATTGACCTGTTTGCCTGGATCTTTCCTGTCAGCCAGGGGCTTGCAGTAACTTGCCAGCTTGCATGACACGTGCAATACGAGTCCCTCGCAATCGTCATGAAGCATTCCCGTCCCAGAGACCTCAAGGATGCAGTACGCCACACAGGGCCATGCGTCTGTGATAAGCCTCAAAATCAGCCCCAAGGAACACGCTTTTGGACCTTCGCCTTGGAGGATCACAATACTTTTGTGGTGATAGCGTACGGCATATAGGAGAATGGCTAAGGCAGGGTGAGGCTATGCAGCATCCACAGATCGCAGCACGTGTCCACCGGCGGAGAAGACCACAAGCTGGAGCTTCTAAACTACAATCGCCACAAGAAAAGGCATCGGTTTCGATAATTGCGCCTGGCAACCCTCCCAGAAATCCCATACGATGAGGGAGCTCCTCAGCCGTGAACACGGGAGGCCCTGGAAAAAGACGGGTCGAGAACTCGGGCAGGGGCGCATGGTTCATCAGAGCAGGCCTGGCCCCGGTGCTGGTGTGGAAAAGCATCGCGATTGGCTACCATCGGGCCGCCAGACTCTGTAAAGCGACGGAACTGCTGTCTATCGCCGTTTGCGGACAGAATGACGTGGGTTTGGCAACAACTCCAAAGGGGCCCGTCAGGCCATGAACTACGCTCGATACCCAATCCGATTACAGCAGAAATTTCAAACGGCTATTCCGACCTTCAACGGCCTATTACTTCCATCTCTACGGTCCCCTACGAATTTCAGATGCGAAGGCGAGATCCTAAGTCAGGTTGCGAGGCCCTGGAGCAGAATCACGATTCATCCCCGTGTCTCGGATTTGGCACCAGATCTGTGAGAGCTGGGACTCGGTTAGAGCGGCCTGTGTAGACAAAGACTGTCCCTGGTAGCATCCATCATGATGTCCGTCATCGACCAATTCTGTGCGGCGATTCAGCGGGGAAAGGCGCAGCTTCCCTTTCCAGGTGGCCGACCTCCATGTTCCACTCTCCCGGGAAGCACCCCGCTCGACCCAAGCTGACGGGTCGACAAGGGCAATGTCTCAGAGCTCATCGAGGAGGCATTCAAGCAGATTTTGGGTGTCTTCACCCATCCAAGTTTGCAGCATTGTTCGTTCGTTACGTGAGTGCAAAGGGGGCGTGAGCCATGGGCTGCCTGCGCAGCCCCGGGACAGTAACGTCAGGCCGCCGTTTCTCCTCATGATGCCAAAGCACGCGGCCGCCGCGGGCTGTCGTCTTCCCGAGCACAAACAGTGCTCTCCTGGATAGTCGTTCTTGAGCGAATTGTAGCCAAGAGCCATCTTTCAGCGCGAGGCGCAACAATTTTCTTAGCTTCTTTGTCCGCGCTGACGGACATTCAATCTACGACGTCTCGTCAACCGGCGGTTGTAGAAGCTAAGACTGCTTTGAGTCTCGGACTCTGGCCAAGTATTCGGCGCGAAGCCTCGAATATGCTCTAACCTTGCTTGCCGAAGACCCCACGCCTTTACGCGTGTAAATGTCGATTAGGTTCATGCTCCTGCCGTCCCGCCTCGGCCCCGGAGTGGACGGGATGTCAAGGTAGGAAGATCAGGGGTGGCACAGGGAGCAGGAGCATCACAGCGTCAGCCCTGCAGATCAACATGCAGGGACAGCTGCTCCAAACAACCTTGGCATACATCCTCTTGCAACCAGTACGGGCAAACAAGTGGCCTGATCAAGCAATCATCTCAATGGATGTGAGCAGCAAGTTGCTTCATTGGACGAATGAACGTGGCTCAGCCAAACTGTCAAACAGTGACAAGCTTGACACCATCAGACGTCTTGGTGGATGGTTCGGCACACATGATGCCAGCTGATGCTTTGGTTTCTCACGACGTAGATAACGGCAGCCAACCCCCCTCTAAGTCAGGCGTTTGAGAGGGCACCTGTTTGTTTCCTCTTCTAACGCACGTTGAGATTCCACACATCCGCCATTCAGTCAAATTCTTGAAGTTCATCGAAGGGGTCCTCAACTGACGAGGGCTTGCTACCGCGGCTTGGCCTTTACTTTCCACACGACAACTCTTTGTTCAGAGAGTCATTCGCTTTGAGCTAGCCATTCCCGATCCAGTCATCACCACCGACAAAGACTTCGTGCTCAGTTCTAGAAAATCATTTCGCCGCATTCGGTTGGGTGTCTCGCTCATCAGCTTGGTCATCGACGAGCTGCTACCAGTGGTATGGAACATATTGCGCCAGACTCCCGGATTTCGTCCTAGACATCATTCTTGCTGGACTTTTTCCCTCTTCCGCACCGAAACCCCATCCCACTGTCCCGTCGAGGAATCATCCAAGATGGAACCTCGAATCATCCCCAGCCAGTTGCCGCCTGGCTTAGAGATTGCCATTCCGCCTGGACACGATCTGCCTCCTCAACAACCGTCGAGCACATACCAAAGAAAGCCCCTGCCACCACTTCCTCCTTTGAGACCCGGCCTTTCACGTCAGGTCTCGGCTTTCTCTGTTGCATCGAGGACGACAATCAATAGTACGAGATCGCGAAGCAGACGGAGGAATACGCCGTCACCGGCACCATCAGGGCGGGGGGCGATCGAGAGACTCGAAAACGAGATCAGTACAATTCTGATCCAGCACAGCCCGACACCCGTATCCAGAAGATCATCAGAACACCGAAGCTGCTCGCCAACGCCTCGGCGACTTCCACGCGATGAAGAGGTGACGAGAGCTTTGGCTCCACGGCGCCTTTCAACACCGAATCTACCGTCGTCGCCGTTACTTTTGAACCCGATAACTACACCTTGCACACTACATCGTTCTTCCGCCAAGATCAAACAGATCACAGGCCTCGATGTCGCATATAAAGCTATCCCGCCACCGCGTCCACCCCGGTCTCCCCTGCCACCAGGCAAGCTCGCATTCCCACCGTCAACACCGGACAACCCGAGCAAACCCCCACCGCCATCATCATCGGAACCGACGCGGACACTAGGCCTTATTACTGATGATTATGAAGACGAATCAGATTTTGACAGTGATTGGGACTTCAGTCCCAGTTCGAAGCGAAACTACGCATCTTGGATTCCTGCATCGCCGGTACCGCCCCGTGTTGAGTTTCTCGACTTTGACGAGGCGAGCCCACGCCGTCGCGACTCGGAGATTGGACCGCTCAGGTCGCCCGGCATGCATCACTTTGAGACGTTGCCGGCACGGCGAAACAATCACATGGAGGTTAGCTATGTAGGAGCCAAGGACCTTTACCACGCGACAGCCACGTCGATTGCGAACTCTGAGCGCAAGAAGGCTGCGGCATCGTCCAGGGCCAGCACCGAGTCGGGTCGCGACTCCATTGTGCCTCCCAAGAACCGACTGAGCTTCGCGACCAAGGTGCTTCAGTCGGGTAGGAAGCGCCCCCCGACGGGCATCAACACCACGACGCAATCGCAGTCCCCATCCCCACCGGGTCCCATGACGGGCTCGGGAAGACTGACGGCGGGCTCGCGTCCAGACATGCACGCGCACTCGCTGGACGATGACCGTCTCCGGGTGAAGTACTCGGACGCCATTTCCCGTGTCTTCAGGTGGAGCGGCGAGCACCGGAGGGCGGTCTCAGAGGGCACATCACCGGTCGATGGGCCGGGCGCGGAACCCCGAACCGTGGCGACGCCCACCACCGCGAAGACGGTGTCATCCATGTCGTCCTCCGGTACCGGGTCGCCCGTGACGGCGGCCAACTCGCCGAACAGGATGGCCAGGCGTTCGGTGCAGAACCTCGCGGCCCACGTCAGGAGGACGGCAAGCGTGATGGTGCAGTCCAAGGATGAGCGACGGAGGGAGAATCTTAGGCAGAGCATCCGGGTGATTCCGGAGGGCAGCGCAACATAAGGAGGGGTTCAATATGCGACGGCGTCGGGGTGGCGTTCGGGGCGGCTTTGGTTGGCTGCTGTATGCTTGTTTGGCGTCACGGGAGGGACGCAGCACGCCCGCCGTGTTTGGGACGAGAAAGCGGCCAGGTTTGGCCAGAGACTCTTGGGATGACAGGGAAAGGTTTGAGATGGTGTCCTGTCTCGGTGTTCGCGTTTAGCGTTGCATGTTTGTCCGGCCCCGTCATGGGCGGGATATCGACGGCGCCATCTAGACAGGGTCTATTTTTGTTGAGGGAAGCGTGGCCGCATGCCACGGAAGCCAGTGTTTTTGTCAACACATTTATTCTTAGCCGTATTAGCGATGGTTGGCGTATGGCCAAAGACGCGGGTTTGGAGATGTAATCCAGACGACTGATCTAATGAAATAGAAGACATGAGAACAAATGAAGCCGTTGATGCACACTGAAAGTATGAAAGCTCCGGTACCGCGTGAGGCGTGCGGTTCCTTGTCTCAAGGTGCCTAAGACGCACCGATAAGGTAATTGATAAGTAATAGCAGGCATTTTAGGGGTCCTGCTGGACGTAGAGCATGCAGCGCCCGCGCCGGGGCCTATCACAAGCACAGCTCACACGCCTCGGCCTCCAGCCCCGCGGCCCCTCCGTCCTCCGGCCGCCGCCTACCGAGCTTCAGGCAGGCCACCATATCTTAGGCTTCACACCCCTCCGGCGACAAATCAAGTTATTGGCGAGCCAATGAATGCCTAGGTGATTACTGCCATCATCCAGGAACATCATTTTGCCATCTTGATGGCAATGATATGTGACCATGATCTAGGTAGGTACCAAAGTAGTTGCGGTCATCGGCCCCTTGTCCGTAGGTGAGGTGGGAATGGTGGGGCAGTCCTGGTGCAGTGTGCCGTGGAAGCTCGGGTATCACTGATCTCACTCAACTAACCCCACCCCCGCAATTCGGCTCGGCCTTTTTTCCATCTTCCCCCAAACATGTTCGTCTTCCCAGCAGACATTACTCCATCAGCAAGCATCTTGGCTCTCTGATCATCTTTCCCTTTTCCTATTGCCCCCCTCCTTTCTCCAACGACACTGAACTCCCAGACAGGAAGACTGAATCCGCACACCACTCTTTCATCACTTCTCCACCGGCCAACCACATCCCGCGCGGGACGTACGCAACGGCAAACATCCGTGTCACAGTCTAGCCTGACAGCACATACAGAGAGAGATAGAAGACAAACGGGCGTGCACAAATACTGCATTGCACATTATTAGACTTCCAGGCTTCCTAGCTCCGGGGAGTTCACCCTACCCATCAACTACCACATCCATCCACCTCCGTCTCGGACACCTCTTACACCCCCCTCCCTCATCTACCTTACACCAGCCATCCACCACTTTTGCCTCCTCCCAGCGCAAAGCATCCTTGTCCCCTACCATCCCCTCCCCCCTTCTGTCTCCAACTCCAACTCCCCCGCACGAGCTTTAAGCAGGTCCATCCGAGGCAGGGAGAACATGACCCAGCTCTCCGCGCCGGACCCAACCTCTCCCCCGTCCTTCTCCGAAGACGCAACAACATCAACAACAACCACAGCAACTCCATCCACCACCACCAACGACACCACTCCAGCCCTGCAGCAGCAGAAACCCAACGGCGACGACGCCATCACACCCCCGACAGACGCCGAAGTCCACGAGATCAAAACCCACCTCGCCGCAGCCGCAACCGCACCCATTGTTGCAGTTCCTGCTGCGCTCGCCAAGGACCCGGCCGCCGCTACCGCTGCAACGTCAGCAGCAGCATCCAACACCAACACCACCACCTACGAACCAAAGATCCTCATCCTCGACGGCGACGACGACTTCCAGGAGGTTACGAGCTACTGGGATGCTGAGGCCATGGCTCCCTTGAACGCCGTCTCTGCGGTTAGTCCTTTTTCCGCCTGCTCTTGAGTTCTAGTTGTCACGCTGTTTTATGTTTTGCCTCCTTGCGCGATGTGAACCTTGCAGTAGTTCGCAGCCATAGTAGCATCATCCAAGGCGACGTTCGCAGTAGTCACAGTGGTAGTTAGTTCTACATCTCGACTTATGCGGCATCCAGCCCATCTTCAGTTTTGTGTATCATCGCCGCCATATCCTCACACCCCTCCTCCACCCTTCGCCATCTTATACACACACAGCGTATACAGTATATACATCCCATACATCTCACACTCCAACCTCATCCGCCTCCTTCTTTCCCTTCTTTCTCCCCTGTCCTTTCCTTTTTCTGCTCTCATTTGCGTGTGGCGCCGACACACATGTCGCGCCGCCGCCAGAGGAAGAAGCAACCATGTACTTGTGCGCGAACCGCATGCTGATGCGCTCAAAGGCGGCCATCGCGCGGCTGCGCCGCTACGTCCCGCCCCCGTTCCCCCTCTGGGACCGCCTCCCCGTCAGCCGCCGCGCCGCCGTCCTCATCCTGCTCTACGCCGACCGCAGGGGCGACCTCCGCGTCGTCATCACCATGCGCGCCGCCAGCCTGCGGAGCTTCTCCGGCCACGCCGCCTTCCCGGGCGGCAAGGCGGACACCCTGCAAGAAACGCCGTGTAAGTCAACTCCTGCCCCTGTCCTCTCCACAATACACAAAGAGAGAAGAGATTCAGAGACATGAAATGTAGAAGATGGACATCTAACACCCACCCAAGACGAAATCGCCCGCCGCGAAGCCTGGGAAGAAATCGGCCTGCCCATGGACGACGCCCGTATCCCCAAACCCTTCAAGATCGAGCCCCTCTGCTACCTCCCCTACAACCTCGCGCGCACCGAGCTCGTCGTCCGCCCCTGCGTCGCCTTCCTCCACGCCGACGAGGAGCCCGACGACCCGGAGCACCCCTCCCCGCTCGTCGAGGAGCGCATGATCCCCCGCCTCGACGCCAAGGAGGTCGCCGCCGTCTTCTCCGCCCCCTTCCACAACTTCCTGCGCGCCACGGACCAGGAATCACCCTCATCATCAAGCACAATCCAAAAGAAGCAGAGGCCGCTGCCCCCGGGGAGCTGGTACGAAGGCAACTGGATCCAGTGGAAGGACCACCCCTGGCGCGTGCACAACTTCTACGTCCCCGTCGACGACCAGCGCGTCACGACGCCCGGCAACGCCATGGACGCGGACCACCCGCAGGGCAACCTCGCCGAGAAGCTCGAGGAGGAGCAGGACCAGCAACGGAGGTTCAAGGTGTGGGGGCTCACGGCGCACATGCTGGTCGACGCGGCGCGCATCGCGTACGGGAAAGAGCCCGAGTTCGAGTGCAACCCGCACTTTGGCGACGAGGAGATCATCCTGCAGGCGGAGCGGGAGGGCAGCCTCGTTGACAAGAAGAGGAAGAGGGACGAGGGGGCGGGTGATAAGGATAAGGAGAAGACGGAGCCGGCCAAGATGTAAATGCGAAAAACAAAAATCGTGAGAGAGTTTGGGAAATATGCTTGCATTGGGTATGATTCTTTGGAAGAAGGGCCGTTTTCCCTTCCACTTTGTAGAAATAACTATATAGAGTCTGTCGGCTAGAAGAAGCCGCAGCTGACATGACGGAACGAAAATCTGCTTTACCCTGCCCCTCGTCCTTTTTGCTACCGAGGGAGATAAAACGTACGGGAATGTGTCCAACGCCTGCGACTTGCAACATCAAGAAAAGCAAACAATGCGCCCGCCCTCCTTCCCTGCTCCCCCGCGCGAGTGATGATTCTAAAGCAGCGTCCCCCGCGGTTCCTGGAAAGAAAGGATATATGCCAGTTGCAAACAAAAGTCGAGCCCCCTGAAACTGTGGGATGTGTTCGTGTTGGTTTTAAGTGGAAACGGGGGAGTTCTTTCAATGGCAGGCGTTGTCCTTTGTGGAGGAGGTCGAGTTCCCAAAGATGACGTAGCCGACGAAGGCGCCGACGGCGACTGCGACCATGACCCAGCCGTTGTAAGTCATAAAGATGAGCCTGGGAGAGGTTGAGGTCAGTTTCGGCGAATGCGGTTGTAAAATGGTATTATGCGCGCGCGAGTGGATTCTATGCAGCGCCGCGCATCGCATGGCATGGCGGCCGCATTTGCTCGCACCCGCGCACGTCGCCCAAATTTGGCAGCTGGAGGGGAGACGAGGGGGAACTCACATAATCATAAAGGCGTAAAAGTTCTGCGCGGCGTACAGGGCAGCCTTGATGATGTGGGCGGTCCTGCTGGCCTCTGCTTGTTCGCGTCCTGTCCATAGGAAGGGGGTTGTCTCAGTAACGGTGCCAGCGATGCCTCAAGGAAGACAAGACTCTTAGCTTTTTCACATGGTTCTAGGGGGGAGGGGGGGTTTTGTAATATCTGCGCTCACCGGGGGCCGACCTCCTTCGTAGAAGAGGCGGCTCTTTTTAAGAGGTGTTTTGCGCATGTTTGTGTTTTATGTGTAAAGCAAAGAGTCTTGTGGGGTGTGGTTTATGACGGGGAGAGGTTTGTATGTTTTGGGAGATTTTCTGGATGTGTGTGTGTGTGTGTGTGATATATGCGCATGTAGATGGCTCGGCCGGGGCAGGCAGGAGGAAAAGCTTACTCGGGAGGGAGTCGACGCGCTTGTTCACGGATTGCTCGTAGCGGCGGGATGCGGCGCGGAGGGCCTCGTAGCCGGCGGCGAGGGCGACGACGAGGAGGAGGGAGATGATGAGGCCGCCAGTCGAGCGGATGTGCCATTGGCGGAAGACGATGCAGAGGTTGTTTGTGTCCCAGGTGAAGAGCATCTAACACGGAAGATGGGAGGTTAGCATTGCTCGCGCTTGTTCGGGGGGGGACGGGTGAGAAGCCAAACTGTTGGCAACAGCTCCCCGCCGTCGCCGCCTCCGGAGCGGCCATGTCGACGGGGAAAGAGGGCGAGGAGAGGAAAAGACGTACGCTCATGCTGCAGCGGTCGCCCATGCCGCCGCCCATACCGCCGTGGCCGCCCATGTTGCTGTGGTCCATGGCGGCGTGGTCCATGTGGGAATGATCCATGTGTGCGTGGTCCATTTTGACGGGGAAATTTCTGGGTATTCTTTAATGGATGCTAATCGTTGAGGGTTCGAGGAAGCAATTGAGAAGCGGTCGTCGAGGTTCGGATTGCGGTTGTTGATGTTTGAGAAAGAAGGGTTAAGGGGGCCCAAAGGCTCGGGATGTGATACTGCGGTCGGGGGTCGGATGGTGTCACATCAGCTGGGGGTGGTGTCTGATAAGATAAGAGGTTTACGCGGGGGGAGGGTACGTCGTGGTCGGTTAGAGCGGGAGCTAAGGGGAAGACATGCGGGCGGGTATCAGAGAGACGATCTAGAATGAATGGGCAGAGCACGCCTGTTGAAGAATATGGGATTCTTGGGATTTATCACAGCAAGGTATGCGGATCCAGCCTTGTGCCGTACATGGTCATGCAGAAAAATACCACTCAGGGCTCTGCGCAGAGAAAGCGGTGGCGGGCCCGTGGCTTGAGGAAACTTGCTCATATGTGCGCAGGTTGCGACGGGATGTTCCCTCGTTCCTTTTGTTTGGTTGTCACTGTCGGTGTAGGGAAGGAGCAGGTAACTAACGGGCTACTCGACTAGCTAACAACTCAGACGGGCACTGTTCAAAGGGTGTCAGCCTTTCTTCTGGTGCGTGGCAGGAGAGTTAAGGTCGATGCGGAATAGCTCTGGTCTGGTTGGATGGAGGAGGGGCTGGAGCAGTGCCGCTGAGTGCGCTGTGCCGTGTACTTCCACAGTCCACTGCCCTCTATCGTCTACGCCGTAAGCAACTTCGCAGTGAGTGAGTTTGGGGCGAACTGGATGCAGGACGTGGCGGGAGGGAAGGACCTGGCAGTGCATTCGCGGCGGCTAAGGCGTTGTTGACTCGTCTGAATTGTTTTAAGAGGGTGGTTCCGCCCGGGCCTCTCCCATCCTCGGATTCAAGTCTCGCTCGCCAGCATCAGGTGGCCAGCCAGCGTGCTTTTTTCTCCAGTGAGATGGCAGCGGCCTGGGAGACTGAGTTGCATTGCTGACGCCGACGAGGGCGGGCTGCTGTCCACTGTCCCATCTTCTCTTACAGACGGCCTCGTACAGCGAGCGAGGGCAGGGAATGCTTAAGTGGGCGAGACAGCGCCAGACGGGTAGGGCGGGGCGAGGGGGCCCGGCTCCCAGACATGTGTGATGCCATGCGTCACATGGGTGGCTCTTTTTGTCTTGCACCTCTCTCTTCACACTGCTGCTCCGTCACTGGACAGTCGATGCTGTTCAAGGATCGCTCGGCAGATACGGCGGGGTTGTTTCCGCTGAGCGGTTAGGGACCGGCTGTGGGTTTTGCCTGCGCGCGTCTCCTACGGCTCGAGTTGCCGATGATGCGCTGATGAGACCGTCCGCTGGGATGTTTCCCATCTCGACATGGAGTCTTTTGACGAGTTGAAGATCTCCATTAGTAAGACGGTCGGTTGTGGAAAAAGCTCGTGGCGGGCCGTTCAGTTTGCTCCGAAACCCCAGGCCGAAGAGCCGCTCCGGATGAGGCACGGCTTTTAGCGGATGGAGGCTGATAAATGCGACTGCTCTTTTGTTGGAAATCCGACAGAAAGTCGACAAAAGCCTAAAATCTCATCAAATGCTGACTTCTCATTCGCCACGTGAGAGCAAAGAGAGAGAGGCATTATCTACACAACGACATCCCATCCCATCCAGCCCCTCAACTCTGACCTGACCTCATCTTGACCTGTCCATAAACCTCCCGCCGAGTCATCAACCCATATATAATTCTCCATCGCAGGAGAAAAAAGTCAACTCTGATACTATTGGCAAAATATTGAATTGGAGTAGTGGCCCGCGACTCAAGTGACTCCGACAAACTTCTCACAATGCTCTCCACCCCTGTCAACCTCCCCAAGTGGTAAGTCCGCTCGTGATGCACTTGAAGCTATTCGCGCAATACCAACTCACACCAACACAAGGCTGGAGGAGAACTCCCACCTCCTCAAACCGCCAATCAACAACTACTGCGTCTACAATGAAGACTTCACCGTCATGGTAAGCCAAACCCCTCCCCCTCTCACCCCAGCCCACGCAAACTCACTCACAACCCTCCCCAGATCGTCGGCGGCCCCAACGCCAGAACGGACTACCACATCAACCAGACCCCAGAGTGGTTCTACCAGTACAAGGGCGCCATGATGCTCAAGGTCGTCGACGACGGCGTCTTCAAGGACGTCATCATCCGCGAGGGCGACATGTTCCTCCTGCCCGGCAACACCCCGCACAACCCCGTGCGCTTCGCCAATACCGTCGGCGTCGTCCTCGAGCAGCGCCGTCCCGAGGGCTCGCTCGACCGCATGCGCTGGTACTGCGAGGCCTGCCGCGAGGTCGTCCACGAGGCCGCCTTCCACTGCACCGACCTCGGCACGCAGATCAAGGCCGCCGTCGAGGCGTTCAAGGCCGACGAGGCGGGCCGCACGTGTAAGAAGTGCGGTGTTGTTGCGGAGTCGGCGCCGAAGCCTGGTGCGATCAAGGACCCTAACCTGGAGTGACGGCGGGACTTTTGAGATGGAGGCGCGGAGTTCGGTGGGTGTTGTTTACGGGATGTTTGGTATGTTGTAGGCGATGCAGATCAGACCATCTATAAAAGTACATGTGATCTTGCTACTGAATGTTTCGAGACTTTATATTCTAGACCGGTGACCGCCGTGCCTCCTTCATCACATAAACCCGCTCATTTACTGCATTAACCTAACTTCACGAAATCCCCCGCCTCATGTCTCCGCAAAGACGTACGAGCTAGGCGACTCCTCCACCGCGACCTCGATCTTGCCCTCAGCGAGCTCCTTGCCGCCCACACGGATACCGGCGCGGATGACGTCCCCAGGCACGGCCGGGCCGACGCCCGCGGGGGTGCCCGTGAGCACGATGTCGCCCTGCTCGAGGGTCATGACCTTGGAGATGTCGCTCAGGATGCGCGGGATCTGGAAGAGCATCAGGTTGGTCGAGGCGTCCTGCTTGGTCTCGTTGTTGACCTTGAGGAAGAGCTCGACGTCGTGCGGGTCTGTGATGGCGGACTTGGCGATGACGTCGCTCATGGGCAGGAAGGTGTCGAAGCCCTTGGCGATGTCCCAGGGCAGGCCCTTCTTCTTGGCCTCGTTCTGGGCGTTGCGCGCCGTCATGTCGATGGAGACGGCGTAGGCTGTGAAGTGTTAGCCTGTGAGGGGAGATCGCGTAAGATAAAGGGGTGACGCACCCTCGATGGCGGCCAGGGCGCCCTTGTAGTCGTCGGGCTTGAGGTCCTTGACCTGCTTGCCGAGGATGAGGGCCAGCTCGACTTCGAAGTGCATGTCGACGCCCTTGGGCCTCAGGACGGGGCCGGCGCCGGGGAGCAGGATGGAGGAGGTGGGCTTCAGGAAGAAGAAGGGCTGCTTGGGGCGGGTGTTGTTGAGCTCCTTGACGTGGTCGCTGGACGCTGCATGTTAGCCGTCTGGATCACAGGCAATGGTTGGGGTGGGGGGTTGCTCACGCATAGTTGCGGCCGATGCACACGACCTTGCCGGCCTTCTTGAACGAGGCGGCGGTAGCCATTGAGCGCTTGAAAATCATCGACATCTTGACGATATATATGAATTGAGGTCTGAGATGAGGTTCTGTCAGCGCTTCGGGGGCTCTTTAGAGTGAGTGAGGGTAGGCGACGTCGGAGGTGGCCACCGGAGCTTCATCGGAGTCTCGGCTCACGAGCCCGATAACCTCGGGAGGATACCCGGTGAAAGGGAGGTTTGGCCTACAAGAACTTTGATAAACTTTGATAAAGGCGCAATTGTCAACCCTGAATTCTTATTCAATGAGGGCTTTACTTTTTTTCGTAACTGCACTCCCAGATGATTCACTTACTCTGACTGGACAATGGCTTGCTCTGCTGGAGAGAGGTGTTTGAAGCTCCAGTGGGGAACTTCCCCTCGGGGAAAGCAGGAAAGCCCGAGGCCTGAGTGGTCAGAAACGGACATCGATAACGCCATTTTAGCCACAGTGAGCCACAGTTATCGGTTCCAGCACGCCACCCCCACCACTCAGCATGGAACTCGAGACTCGTAGGAACAGTCGAATAGAACGGCAGGTCACGAAGAATTCTTTCGGGTCGTTGCCATCATATATCTATGCTGTAAGTGTCTCGCATAAATATGGCAATTCTAATTATCCTATGGTGGTGCTAGTGTAATGCGGATAGCACTCCTTTGTGAGGCGACGTCCGTAAGGGCACGTTGTGGCATTTCGCAAGAGCTGTTCGTATCACTGTGAAATGCAATCGCTCCTGAGGCAAGGTAGGACAACGAAAGACGAACCGACGTGCAGGTTTGACTTTGATCCATCGGCTTTTCTGTGAGTGCTAGGGGATAGCGGGTTGCCAGGGCCATGCCCAACAGCTGTATTCCTGCCATTCGTTTCCAGCTTTTAGATTGTTTGCGCAAAGAAAACTGCTAATGTGTGTACTAATGTTTGTACTACAGAGTACATGTCAGACTCCAGCAATAAAACGCTTCTCATTCTCGAAGACATCACAGCATGGCGAGTTATGGAAGATTGTCATCCAAAGTACGCGGACCATTTACAGCATACCCGAGTGTTGAGCATGGCCTTCGTCAATTCAAAAGGGCTGCAGTTAAGTTCCCTCGGCATACTTCTGTGCAGTACGGATGGATGCCCAGACAAAGGCAGCATAACGGGACGGTTTCCCCAGGTTTGATACGTACTGAGATCTGCCCAAACTCCAAGCGGTGGAGAAGATTGGTCGCGGGGAAAGCAGGCCAGACACGTCCAGTGGACAGTGACGGTGACAATCGACAGGGAAGAGCCCGGGGATCCGCGCATTGTGGCTGAAGTGCTCGGTGTGGGGGGTTTCCTCCTCCCCGCTTCCGCGAAGATGGCGACGGCATCAGATCCAATGGGAGATCGAAGAGGACACTTTGCCTTGTCTCCGGCGGGGTAATAGCGCGCCTTGGAGTTGCGCTTCTGCAACCTCTGATCTGCCGCCGTTTGGTACTCGGGGAGGTGCTGTCCATTGGTGGTGTGCCTGTTTATCAGCACCTCAGTATTATGCAGCCCGTAGTGAATGTGCCACGGCGGCGTGCAGCAGGAATCAAGCACTCGCTGAAAGTCACCACAACGGCAGCTGCAGCAGCAAAGGGGCACCCGGCGCTCTGTCCTTCCCCCACACGCTTCTCAGACACAATCAACTTTAAGCCGCCTGCAGCAAGCTAATGGTACCTGACAAGCGCACCATCACACCGCTACTGCTGTTGTACCTGACGCTCTGTGGGAAAGAAGAAAAAGCTAAGACAACCTGGAAGCCTTGAATGACGGCGTCGGTGGGTTTCCATGGCCCGTCCCACCAACAACCTCCCACCTCCCAGGCTGTCTTTACCCTTCGGCCGCCCGCTAAATCCCACCATCGATATCCACTTCCCAGCAACGCCTTTAACTTTCCTTGGACTTTAATTGACCACCTCCATCCGTCCCTTTACACGCACGCGACCGAAAATCTCCAGGAGCCCTTTCGCAACGCAAACGCAGCAAAGGACGCCCAACGCCATGGAGAGTCTCCAGCTGGCGCAGATGCTCGCCGACTTGAGCAGCCTCAACGCGGCGGTACGTGTTCCTCCTCGTCTTCCTCATCCCCTGGCCCCCCATTACTCGCCCATGTCACCCATCGAAATCTGCCCCTCGCGGTGCGCATCTCGCAGGGGGTAGGATAGGAGGCAGATCCGCAATAAACTTTTCTCTGCCTTCGCAGCCGATGCTGCCTCTCGATAACAACCCCAAAAGCTGACGACATTTCCGCCAGGAACCCAATGCAGCAGCAGCTCTCGTGACGGCGAACAAGGCGATCGAGACGGTTGAAAAGACCAGCGGCGGCGTCGTCCCCAAGCGACCAACCGACGAACTCCGCCGCGCGCACTCTTCCCAGACATCACGCCCAGGCACAGGCACCGCGACGCCCGCCCGCGTCGACAAATTCGGGCGCCGTATCATGATGAGCCCGCCCATGCTCTCGCGGTCCAACTCGGCCCAGGGTTCTGTTCCCGGCACGCCCAAGGGGGTTTCTGACGTACATCACCCCCTTCGTCACCCTTACCCCCACCACTTCCTGGAGGTCCCGGGACAGGAGACGAGAGCTCACACGATTGCGCAACAGGGCGAAGACGATTTGGACAGGGCTTCGACGCTGATGGCTTTGTACGAGATCCGCGCGAAGCTGAAGCAGCAGGACAACAGCAGCTTGATGAAGGCGAGGGAGAAGATTGCGGACCTCGCGCAGAGGCAGCAGCAACAGCAACAAGGCGGAGCGGGCAAGAAGGAACCCGAGAAGATCACCTCCAGGTTTACGTTTCCCAAGTGATAACGACGACACATCGACAACACGGACGGACGCAGACGGTTTTGTTACCTTTTGAGCAGCGGCGGTACGGCGTTTTACGGGCGAAATTCTTTCTCCATTTTTCAGCAAGGGGAAACAGGTACTCGGCATGGTTGCTTTGTTAAAAGTCACGACGAATTTGGTGTTACGGGTTCCACGAGCGGTTGTCGCTTGGAAGGCTGGGCATGTGCTACAAGTTTGGAAGGACAGGGAGGCGACCTTTGATCAAGGTCGCTCACTGGCTCTTGGTCTCGGTCCTTCATCCGGTTAATGAAGGACCTCGGGAAAATTTCGGTGCGGGTTGACAAAAGATTGCGAGGGTCTGTTATCCTTCGAGGACGCAGCCTCTTTCGATGCTCTGTAATAAAGCGGTTGAGAGGCTGAGTACATCGCAGCGCTTGCTGGGGGAAGTTCCCTCGAGGCTGACCAGCGCAGGATTCGCGTGTTCGTAGACTACACTTTTCTTCTAATACCAAGAGCAGTACAATTACGATTTGAAATGGCTTTCGCGGACAGACGTGCTGGATCAGCTTAGATGTGACGAATACCGAAAAAGGGATGCAAGCGGTAAAAAGTCAACCTGCCGCCAAGCCCGGCGGTGCACCGGGCATACCACGGAGGTCCCGGCCGACGGGTGTGCGGCGGAAGGTGAGGGTTTTGCGACCGAACCAACCGTCCGGCGCCTAGCTCGGGGATTGGCCAGGAAGCGCGGCAAGGCAAGCAAAAACAGAGTTGGTCGCGAAGGAAGCTGGAAACAGCCTTGGCGGAGGCGCCATGGAGGCGGTAAATCTAATCTCTGTTGGAGGGGCCGCGCTCGTGGAAGTTCAGCTGGGATTCCCGATTTCGTGGGTTGGATAGAGGTGGGATGGGTTAGATTATAACAAGCCGGCCTGAAGCCTCGGCCGGGCTGTGTTATGTTAAGTAATCGGAGCCTCCAATGTTCTCGTCTGTGGAAGTATTGTTGGTTGCTCGCGCTCTCGAGTTTTCCATTATGTAGGCACCACGTACGGTCTGCTCTGGTTGGATTCGACAATTGCCAGCGCCGCGGCGGGGATCCTTGGTCAGGACCCTCCACTCCCAGTGGGGTGGTCCACGACGCCAGGCAGCGCTGGACGGGGCCGCCGTCAGCAGCAGCAGTGCCCCCGGTAGCCCGGGACACGCGGGTCGCCGGGCGTCTTTTAAGGTTGGTTTTGGCAGTCGCACTCGCGTCGAAGAAATGGAGCTGGAACCCAGGGTAGTGGATATTCCTGGCCTCAGTTCCTAGAAACGCCCGCGGCAGGAAGGGGTTAACGTGGAAGGAAACATTGGATTGCTGTCATAAACAAGTGAGGGCTTATTAGGCTGAAGTTATAAGTACCCAAGTCGAAGAAGGTTTCTTAGTGGAGGGGGATGAGATGAGATGAAGCTGCAGAGAAACGAGACCAGCCGGAGATATTATGCCTGCGATGCCTAGTTAGGTAGCTCACGTGGGCGGCCGTCTCTCCCGGGAGAAAGTGTCGAGTTACCCTGATGGACGAAGGAAGTTGTGGAATGTCGCCGCCGGTCGGTATATCGATCGTTTAACTCTCATGAATTCCGGAATAGGCAATTGGGGATTACACTATCACTGGCGATGCGGAAGAGGTGACAAATGGGACGGGAATAAGGGACGGGCGGATCTGGTGAGCTGCGCAGCTCTACATCGCCTAGCCCACTTGGCTCGCGCATTGGCAGGCCATGTACCTGACGACGCGAGATGCTGCAGAAGATGGGCGACGGCGCAAAAGTTTCCTCTCGATGATTCCAGATTCCGGCGGTGGTGACTGGTCGTCGGGAGGAAGGTAGGGTCACGCTACCGCGGCAGCGCCACGGTTGGTGAGGAATCCCAGCGGGGAATATTGGGCCACCAGAAGTGTTTGGCCAAGCCTCCCTCGTTTGCCTTTTCGGCTGGTGATGTCAGGCGCTGGGAGCGATATCCCCGGCCGGCCTGCGCTCGCTGTGATTCGCTCCTCGGCGTGCTGCGAGGAGAGGACAGCTGCGGTTGGCTCACTATTGGATTACACAGCCACTGACGGGTCGCTGGAGAGCGGTGGACTGACTGGCTGGTCGGGCGAAATGGACCGTGCGGAATAGAATTGTTTTGTCATGACTTTGGTTGTTGGGGGAATTGTAATGGCACGTAGTGCTGATACCGGCGCAGCGGTGATGCTGATTGCTGATGATGCTGGTGCTGCTGAGATGTTTCTGAGGGAGGCATGGTCCAGGTGGTCAAGATTCGGATAGGTAGGTACCGTCTCGATGGAACGGAGGGACGGAGGTACAAGAACGGCAAAATCGGAACCAGTTTCGTGAGGCAGCCCGGTGTTGGGATACGGCAGCCGGAGAGTAAGGGTACTTTGTGTGCGTTGGAGTCAGTCACTGTGTGTGTGTGGGAATGCGCGAAGGTTCCAAGCTCCGAACAAGCAACCAAAAGTCTGGGCAGAGGAGGCAGGCCACGCAATTCATTCGGGGCCGGTGACTCTGCCCAGCCTCCAAGACGTCGCTTTGTCCAGAGACGGGTGACGGTCTTCTTGGCCTTTTCTTCCTCACCCAACTTTCATGACCTACCAACGAATATAATTGATCCATCCCTCGTCCTTCCCCCCCTCCCTCTTTCGCCCATCCCATTTATTTAGACCTTTTTCGCCAAGCTCGCGCTCAGCCTAATCAAACCCGACTCGACTCTTGCAGCGTCCGCTCCGCCCTGCATAACACCCCAAACGACCTAAGCCTTATTGCACCTAAACCCACCTACGAGGTCCCTGAAGCAGAGAACCTAACCCGGGCGGGCCTTATTTCATCCAACCTTTGCCCCATTCACTCATACGAGGGGGTGAACGTTACAGCAACCGCGACGTCAGGCCAACAGCCATCACGTCATTGAATAGCGATACATCTCACGACACAACGCCACGAGCTTTCTTTTGCTTTGGCATCACTGCGAAGACGAATTCAGATTGAGAGACTTCCTATCATTGCGTCTTTACTTTTACGGCCACATTCCCTGTTTGTCGGCCAGTAAATAAGTTCGGTTGGCAACTTCCGTCGCCTACACCCTACAGCAAACATCGACTGCGCCGTCTCCATCAAGCGCATCGCCAAAATCATCAACATGGCGCCGGCAGATTTTCACATCCTTCCCTACCCTCTCCCTCAGGCAACTCACGATGCGATTACGAAGAGGTAAGTCTTTCGTCATGCTTCCCCGTCGGGCACATCGCGATCTTCCGCCGATCAACAACGACGGCAGATTGCGATGGCCCGCCCCCCGTCCCCATCCCCATCCCATCACCAGCGACGATTCATCCACGCAAAACTAACACCAACGTTCAGAGCCACGTACTGTAACGCATACGGGTGCTACGAACGCAGTTCGTGGTACTACTGGGGCCGCTGGGTCCTCGCCGCCGTCGTCCTGGGTATCGCCATCCTCATCCTCGTCGCACTAGGGTACGTTACATCCAGCACATCGCCTTCCCCGACAAAGCCCCCGAAAAGAAGCTGAACTGACTCTCTCAAAACAGATGCGTGAGCTCCCGCCGTCGCAGAAAGCGCGGCATGTCGCCCTTCTACGGCACCGGCTGGATGAGCAACAACCAGAAGTACTACCCCCAGAACACCACCTACGCCTACAACCAGCAGTACCCGCAGCAGGGCTACGGCCAGGGCCAGCCCGGGCAGTACCAGAACCCGCCCCCGGCCTACGGCCAGCAGCAGCCCCAGTACACCGGCACCACCTTCAACCCCAACGACGGCTACTACGGCAATCACAACGAGGGCATCAACCTCCAGCAGCCGCAGAACGCGTACCACCAGCCCCAGGGGACCTACGCGCCTCCCGCCGGCCCGCCTCCCGGAAAGTAAGAGGGTGCTTGCGTGTATGTGTTTTTGGGAGAGGATGAGTTGCCATGCGAGAAAGACAGCACGATGGAAGGGAATGGGAAGGGATATGCGAACACCAGATGATACCTCGATTGCGGACCAAAATTGATCCAGCGGCGTTTTTAAAAGGTTTCCTTTTCGATGGGAATTGGGGGACCTAAGAAGATGAACCATGTGGAGGAACGAAACGTCGGCTGGAGTAATTCTCCTCCTTTTCACGGCCTACGACGGTTAAGACAGAGGTATTTTCTCTTCTGACTGTATGATATCTCTTTTTTAGTAAAAAGACTAGTTTTTCTAAGGACCTCGACCTCTCTCTTGATGCTCTGACGTAAAAAACTCATGTCGTTGGCCGATCTATGGTGACGCGCTAAGCTCAGGCCGTGAGAGCTCTTAAACGCCGGCTTCAACATCAGATGGTTCCTGAATTTGCTGTAGCCGACATCTGATGCTTCTAGAATGAGCTTCCAGAAAACACGGGGCGCTCTCTGGCGGTAACAATCTCGGCGCCCCGGAGCCGGGAGCTAGACAACGAGGATGGATGCCTAAAACGCCCATTTCCCGAAATCTCGTGGCGTCCAAGGGTTCTTGATCCCACGATCCTCCCAGATGAAGATGCAGTCGAGAAACCACGCAAGACAATAGAGAACTGACCAGGCAAGCCGAATAGTAATAACCCAGGAGCCTTAACGCAGTGAGTAGAGTGCTTTACTCAGCAACACTGGAAACGTATGGGAGCACGAAATCAAGAGTCTGCTTTCTTCGTCGGCGGTTGTCCCGACCTACACGGCGCCTCCTCTCCCCCTCAGGACCGCCTGGAATGCGACGAGAAAGTCTCACCGACGCTGCTTGAAACAGTAAGGGCCATGTTCGCATATAAAACGACCGAACCCCTTCAGCGCCCACCGCCGACCGAAAAGTTCGAGACAAGGAGAAGCATTCTCGGTTTCGCAACACTATTCTCGGCGGGCCCCATTGCCGTATCCGACCCGCCTGCTCAGCCCGCCTGACGAGAAAACACGACGAACGACACGGAGTTCCGATTGTGGCGAGTGAGGTCGGGATTGGGAGCAGAGCTGTGTGGCTGACCCGGGTGGCGTTCATGGAAATAACCATCGGCCGTGGCATCCGAATCATGTGGGAGAGCCCCAGACGCCCGGACCACTGCCAAGTCAGCACAGGTGCCTGAATCCTCAGGCGAGCGACAGATAGAGTCCACTCAAAGTGCAGGTTTCACCTTGTGACCCTGCAGATTGGAAGCCACTCTGTCTCTGTCTCTGCATGTTGCGAGCAGATTTCCGGCGTGTGGGTTTTGGCTTGTGCCCGCTTTGCTGCTGCGAAACTTCGGTAACCCGTCAGCGGGCGAGCAAGCTCAAAATTGTGGTCGACGAATCCAAATCATCTCCGACCCCTGAGTCCTGACAAGCTTCTCAGAAGGAAAAGCGGGAGGGTATGAAAATACGTACCCCCTGGCCGGCTTAAGAGGTCGCCGCTAAGGGACCGGGACTTGGGGAGGAGGGAATGCTTCGACCAACGGCCAACGCGACACTGGAATAGGTGGGAAAGGGAACGGCTGCGCCGCGGCACTTGCGCGATTACAGGGGCTTTGCTGGCACAGAATTTTGCAGTGCATACTTCTGCCGCGAGTTGCTTCTGGCTCCATTGCCTGCCCGCTGGCAGAGTTCGCATTTCTCAGCGAGGGTGAGGCCGGGAGAAAGGGAGACTCTGCGGGAGAGAATGCGAGCGAGGAGCGAACTGCTCACCCCACCAGAGTTCGTCTGAGCCAGGCACGATGCACGCCGCACGGCACGCTGCACGCTACGGCCAGGAACGCCTGTGAGAGCCAGGACGCTCGTGGAGCTTCAGGTCCAATCTGCATCCACTTTGGTGAGCACTCAGCAGCCAGCAGCAGCGCGGCTTGGTACACTAGGCAGGGGGATGCCGCTAGAGCGGCATGGCGCTCGATCGCAATTCAAATTTCCCGCTCACAATCTGAAATCTCCCTTGGCTTCCCTCATGTGTGTGGGCTGTGGACAGTGGTGCGCGTGCGTGTGTCTTCTCTCTGCCTTCCATCTCTGCTCCCTCGTTCTCTCTATCGCATCGCTCTTGATCGCTCAAGTCGCTCTCTCTTAGGTAGGCACGACACACTGACGATTTTGTCATTGCGCAGTGTGATTTGTTGATCTCCCTGTCTCTCTCTTTCTGAGGTAGGCTCTCCTCCCCTCGGGCCGTTTCCTTACCTCTCCGCTCTCACTGGACGGGGTTCATCCACTGTGTGTTTTGTCGTCTTGATCGCCCGCAACCCTCGTGGAAACCGTTAGCTTTCTGGGAAAGTAGCGCGTGCGTCACGTCAATCCTTTCCCGTTCCTTTCTTCTCTCAACGCTCCTCGTTATTTTTCTCCCTCGTCCCTCCTCATCCTCCTCCCTTCCGTCCCCTCACTGACGCTCCGGGAAAAGGTTCACCTCCAAGGCCATCCCATCCACGGCACGGCGGCCTCTCACATCCTCTTTTTTATTTCTCTCGACACCCTTTGGAGGTGCATTATCCTCGACAACCCGACCCGGCAGGCTGCGTCCTGTTCCGTTCGCTCCTTTATCAGTTGTCTTTCGTCCCAAGTTCCGCCCGCCTTCCCGAGGCTGTTTGATGCCGGCTCCCCGTGTCTCTCTCTGCGCCTGATTCACTCCCTTTAAGGAACGATAGACATATACACAGCATCAGCAAAGTTTGGATAAACAATCCACTCATTCCTTTCTCGACTCAGCCCGCCGCCACACGAGGATTTATTGCATTTTTCGTCACCACACACACAATTTACGTCTCACGACGAGACCCTCCTCAGCTACAGCCCACTACCTACCTGGGATATCCGTGTTTCTCTCGACAAGGCCCGCGTATACCATACGAAATATCGGGAACCACCACCCCTTTTCTACACGAAACAAACAGCGTCATTCGCCCAATAAACCGCCAGCCCCCAACCGCAATCTGTTGGCCACCGATCGCCTATTCTCGGGGTCATCCTGTCAACCCTGCGGTGCTTACTGACTGCACCGCCCAGTTTCAGCGCCATTTTGAGACGAAAACCTCTGGGCTTCCCTCGGTCCTACGCTGTCATTCGCTGCGCCTTCCCCTACCACTACGCAAGGGGGCGACTACGCTTTACACTGCACCTCCCGCAGTGACGAACCACCTTCAACTCTCCCTCCTCTAACGGCAACACACAGGCATTTCAATTTCGTCCCTTCCAGAACCGGTCTGTGAGAGGGGACATCTACTTTCGTTCACGCCTGCCGCTTTCGCTTGCTGCGCTTTTGCCTCCTCGCCCGTTTCTCGCCTGAGATCGCTCTGTTACACCTGCGTCACCCGGACCCTCAGGACACAAGCGGCTCGCCTTCCATTCCCTTGACTGCACGGAAGATCAACGTGCGTTCAGCCGATCAAACGAAACACCGAGCAATCCGTCTTTTTTCATGAGATGATGGACCTATAGTCTTGCTACTATTCCGCAACTTAATCCCTCTCTCATTCGACAATCCCGACCTCGACACATACCCCGGCTTTTTCGAGGGTATCATACCGAGAATCACGTTCGTTGGAGAGAAATTTGGCATCTCAGCTTTCAAGATGCCTTCAATCGACGTCGCCATGGCGAGGAGCCTCCGCGGAGGAGTTTGGGGCTCAGTAATGTCTAGCATGGCTGCGACTATCGAGAAGCGCCAGATCATGTCCACGGTGGAGAACGTGGGAAACCAGGTTAATGATGTGAAGACGGCATTTTCAAGTTGGGACAACTGCATGTCCGTCAACTATTGCAAGTAGGTTTACACGGCTTGAGTTAGGATCGATGGATGCTGACATGCGCAGGTGGCCGGTCATCGGAGTCATGATTGTTGGCGGCTTGATCATCTTTTCGATTGTATGGTGTATCATTCGATGCGCTTGCTGCGGTCTGTCGTGCTGCTGCCAGTGCTGCTACTGCCTCAAGTGCTGCGGTAACTGCTGCGGCTGCTGCGACACCCCGAAAGGAACGCCTCACAAGTACCTCGACGAGCCGTACTCTTCGAATCAAGGATACAAGTCACAAGCGCCCATGAACGCGAATTCGAACGTCCCGCCATTCCTCCAAAACCAGCCTACGCATACAGCACACTCCACAGCACCAGTGCCCGTGGCATCCGGAGCCTCGGCGCCCCCTCAGTATGCCGAATTCGATGTTAGCAAGTCCGGGGGCAAGGAGGACGGAGACGCTCTTCCTGCTATGCCCAGCTGGGAAGGTGCTGGATCCAAGAAGGTTGCGATCGAGGAAGAGGTGGAGCTGGAGCAGATGAACAAGCCCGCTGCGTCGCCAAACCCGAACATGCCTCTCATGGCACCCAACGCCATGTCCCACCCGAACAGCCCGATGCCTGGCGACAGGAGCCCCTACGGACAAAACGGACAGGCCGGAGCTAGCGGCTACTTCCCCAATCAATCTGCGGACCCCTATGCCATGAACAACCAAGGATTCAACAACAACGGATACGGACAGTCCAACTCATCTTTCGGCGTCGACCAGTACGGAGCCGCGGCTGTGGCTGGAGCAGCTGGAGGCATGGCGATGAATCAAGGCAGACGGACTCCCGCCCGTGAGTTCAACAACGGTGGTTACGGCCCGCAAAGAGGACAGACTTTCCCACCGCCCCAGCACGAGCTCGACGGAGGCTTCGGTGGCTTTGAGCAAGGAGGATATGGCATGGGCCGCCCCCCGCGCAACGGACCTAGCCCGGCCCCCAGCAGAGCCTTCACTGCCCCCCCTCGCAACGGCCCCAGCCCTGCGCCTGCTGGCTACCGCCGCTCGCCGGCCCCCGATTACCGCGGTTCCCCCGCCCCTCCTCCCGCCGACTACCGCAGGTCCCCCGCTCCTCAGGATCCCTACCGTCGCTCCCCTGCGCCTCAAAACGACTACGGCTTTGACCAACAAGACCAGTATGGCAACGACAACTACAACCGCCAACAATACGGTGGCGGTGCGCGTCAGTACTCGTCCGAGTCGACCCGACCTTTGGCCGCGCCTCAGCGTAGCTACACCGGAGACCACGCTCCCCAGTCCCCCGACCTCCAAAACTCTGGCGGCTTTGACTTCCAGTCAGGCTACAGCCGCCCGCAGCAGTACAACTACAACCGCGGCCCCGCCACTGGCCAGCCAATGCACGCCGAGCCGGAGGAGGAAGAACAGCGCCCCCCGCAAAGCAGCGGCGGCACGTACCCAGGATACAAGGCCTACCAGCCGACCAAGGAAGGCTGGAGCGGCGTTTGAGCGAAATGAAAGAAAAGCATTTATCACGACCTTTTGACATGGAAAGCATTGTTTTCGCATGCGTGGCGACAAATTGGAATGCTGTCTTCGTCACGGCAGTCTATTTAAAGACTAATGCAGTCCGAAATTCATACATCCGAGGCGGCGTTACTTTGAGTTTTGATTAAAGTGGTTTTGTGATGGGGTCATCCCTGAGCCGACCGCACCCTTTCGCAGAAACCACTGGTCGTCTGTTTGGAACATCAAAAAGAGAGATCTGGGGTTGGTTTCCCACACGGAGTTTCGGGCATACAGAAAGAGCCTTTATTTTTTCGAATCTTGATGAGGGAGCAATGGAGGGTGTATAATGAAATGACCCAGGTCAAAGTTTCTGTTTCTATGTTTTATTGTTTTTCTGTACGGGTTTCCCTTGCGTCATGGCGAATCTTCATTTCTTGCGGGGCCTTTTGTTCTTTTTTTGCATTCGCGTGGATTTGGCCGTCCACACAGCACTTCTTCACCTCACACGTCTTGACGCTGAACGAGCCGCAGGCTGGCGTCGTCTTCTTCCATCATTGATCGTTTGCTACGTTGTCCATCCGCAGACTTGGGATGGATTTGAGTTTTGGGGAGCAGGAAGGTTGAAGAGGGGGGTTACTCGGACGTTGTGTCTAGGGTAGGGGGTGCGGGAGATGGACAGGGGTAAAGAGGTTGTTGCGATGATGGTGTGGGAGAGATACCCGCTTCGCGAGAGGGAGATATCAGAGGATTGAATTGAAAAGATCATACCAAAGATTTATGACATGTTCATCGTGCGATGTGATGATGAGATTCGTGGTAATCTGAATTGCGGGTCAGCCGCTGTTGTAGTTCCGCAAGCCGTGTATGGATTATCTCTTTTCGTCCTCTTCGGAAGAGAAGATGCAGAGGCGCGAGTATATATCTGATGAGAGAAGAGGACGTGACGATGGATTTTCTTCTCCGTAAGTACCTAAACAAGATTACCTGAAGCATCCTGTCTTTCGTATCTTTGACTGCGTTTTCTTGTGGTCCATCAAGACACACAGACGTCTCAAGTCCGGCTTTGCCAGATCGTTGTCGCCATCACACGGTTGCAGGATTCACAAGGAAAACGGGTGATGTAGTTAAGGCAGTGAACGGCGATAGGGTCTCTGGTGATGGCGATGGCGTGGGGGAGGGTATACCAAGAGAGAGAAGTGAGAGCATTGATCTTTGTCACCGTGGCTAGGGACATGAGAGGATGGATTTGTGTCCGAAATGCTGAGCGTACGAGACACTCATGAGGCCTAACAAGCGTGTATCGGGGATTCTGTTAAGGATGCGAGGCTTGGTTCAATCTGCTTTGAACAACCTATTTCCCTCCCCCTTTAACGCGGCGTCGAGTTTGAAAACAAGAATTGTGTCTCTTTCTTGTTTTTCTATGTCTCCTCTGCAATCTCTTATGCCATCAATAGCAAAGCGTCAGTGCAATGGTTGGAAACAGTATGGACTACAGCTCAGGTACTTCCAGTGGCGACTTATATGAAGGCGTTTGAGGGGCCAAGACCGCGATAACGTCTCCCTCTGTCCAAACGCCTGCGCGATGGCGTAGCAGAGCGGTCTCCCTTTTGAAAGATGTACAGAGAGGCGGCCGGCGTCTTTGCTGGATTGGCTCGAGTCGTTGGCCATTCCCGATACCCAATGCTTTGCACATCTTCCAAGGCCCGGAGGAACTGCAACTGTACGGCTGCCATGCACTCTGCCACACGTTCCTGTGATCGGGGACGTGAGGGCGTCAGACAAGCAATCCGAACCGTCATCCTGCCAATACCTATGCGCTGGACACCTGATCCTCATACCCGGAAGTATCTTCTCACGAGCATGGCTTCGAGTGATCCTCCGCCCCTTCCCTGATCTTCCACACCACTCGTCCGAGACGGGACCGCTCCTCCATCCCTCGTATTCCCCAATGTGTCATGGCAGCTTTACGCCAGGCTGTTGCTTGGTATACCATCGTCTTGGTGTCATGTCCTCTCCCAACTTATCCGCTTGTTTTCAACAGGATCCAGTGCCTCGAACGAGCAGAGGCTTTCGTCATCAACATACCCGCCAGCAGTCTTGGGATCTGCCATGATGGCTTGGTTCGGTGCTGCGCCGTAGTGAGGCAATCTCGGAAGGAAAGAAGTCATTGACACCGGGAGTCTGAAGAAACGGACCTGCTTGACCAACCAATGCATTGAATTACCCGAGCTTGCTATTCTCCATAAATACGCCGCGCAGCAAGATATGTGATAACGTATATAAGCCATATCGATATTGTTACAACCCCAAGAGACCATCTAGGCCCTACACCCGTACATGTTCTAGGTTACCGTCCTCTCGTAAGGGTTACACAAATCACTCCTTGGGGAAGAGCTCCGCCGATATGTCCTTCCTTTGGTGGTTCGTCCTGCTCGAGCTGCTGCCAATCACCGTGGGCGCATCGCCGTCCTTGTCGGGATCATACTCCGCATCATCCGCGTGCTTCGCCTTCTTTAACCTCAGACTGCTGCTGTCGTCCGAGTCGGTGTCGTTGTCGCTCGCCTCGTCGGCGTCGTCGTACGGGCTGACGGCCGCGTGCCGCGAGCTCCACTCGGGGTCTTCATCCGGCAGGCGCTCGTGCTCGGTCTGCGGCTGCTTGATGAAGGAGTCGATGATGTAGTACTGCAGCGCGTTCATGATGAGGGGGAAGAACATCATGACGAAGAAGATCTGCAGCTGCTCGTTGCCCTCGGTCCAGCGCAGGGCCCAGTCGCCTACGCGCGAGATCCAGGGAAGTAGCAAGAAGATGATGAGCACGCAGAGCTTCATGCCAAAGAGGCCGCAGAAGTAGATGACGGACTGCTTCAGCCACCACCAGGCATTTGGCGGGTTGCCATAGTTGCCGGACTTTATCGACTCGGCGGGCTTGCCCATTGGCGTGTAGGCCACAAGGCCGGTGAGGACTCGGAGGAGCACGATAAGGATGGGGATGCCGATCGTTGTCTGGGTCACACGTTAGCCGGGTACAGACAGAAAGCAGGGAGCACAAGAAACTTACGTCGATGGCGAGGTTGAGCAGGTAAAACGAGCAAGGGTTTGGCGTGTAGTCCTCCTCGCGCGTTACTAACCTCCGCACGTTGGCCGTCGTCGTGGGGTCCAACGTAACAGAGAAGCGCCCCGACGTCAACATGGACATGAAGACGTTGGCGATGTGCACCAGCACCGAGCCAAACACCTGCTTCGACACATCAAAGAACCAGATCTTGACGGGCCTTTGCGGTCGTTCCCTCCAGCGCTTGTACACCAATGACAGAAGCGCCAGACCGCCGAGTGCAGCCTGGACGATGAGGGCAAAGGAGCCGAGCAGGCTGCACTCGCCGTTGCCGCCTCCCTCCTTCATGGCAGCGGTCGCAGTCGCGGCGGCGGCCGATGTGACAGCGGTGGCGACGACGTCGGCCATGGTCTCTGCTGCTGGGTTCGTCAGGGGAATCATGGTTGTTGTTGCAGCGGCAGCGAGGGCGGCGGCGAGGGTTGATGTGGGAAGCGCATCTTGGGCGCCAGTCGCTATTGCGTAGGGCGGCGGGGGGGCCATTGGCCTGGCCGGTCTAGCGATTATGTACGGCTAAGGGAGGCAAAGACGCGGTGTCTTTGTGACCTGGTGACGCCTAGGTCGTGAGGGGGGGCGAGGTGCGGCGTCGGAATGTGGATGACGTTTTGGGAGATCGGGGGTGGGCGCGCGCTCTCTTTCTTCCCGTCTTTCTGGGGTTGACGGTAGTAGTGGTGGTGGTGGTTGGTCGTGTGGGCAGGCGAAACGGTTCTACCTGACTAGCTTCGAGACACGGGCAAATATGTATGCAGGTCGATAGTTGGAGCTCCGACGTGAAGACCGGCGACGGGGTTCAGAAAAGCAAGGAAGAGACAGGTAAACGCGCTTGCAGGGCGTTGAGAGGAGGGGAAGGCAGAATGCGGGGGAGGAGGCTGTTTAAAGAAGGAAAAGGGAGAAACAAGCGTGTGAAGCAAGAAAGAAAAGGGTAAGGCGAGGAGCGGTAGGCAGAAGAGATGAGAAAAACGAGGACTACAGGACGCCAAAAAGGTGATGATGGACACAGGATGGGACATGGACGGAGGCTGCTGTCACGAGGCGGAGCCAGAAAGTGACATGCAAGCACGGACAATTAGGCGGTCGAGTTACAAATACACGAACCCTTTCTACCACCGCAGGCAGTTGTTAGGATTGCGGTAGGCAGACCAGGCACCTGGCTAACTGGAACTCTATTCGCCGCTGCCAATGTTCTACCTGTTGGGTGGTCTGGGCATCATCACTTCCTTCCAGCAGCATACCTGGTAGCAACGGCAGAGAAAAACACAGTCGGGTCATCAGCACATCAGCGCACCAGGGCCCTGGGGAAAAAGGACCTTGGGACCCTCCGCCCCCCGTTTGAGCCCCTCTGCCGCCTAGCAGTTGGCTCCAGGTTCTGACACAAGCTTACTTCCGATGCGGCTTAGCGTCCCCGCCTTTAACGGACCAGACCTGCCGCGCGAACATTCGGCCCCAAGCGAGCGCGATTAGGTGTTGGGTGTTATCCGTAGCCCGGTGAGCACACCCAGCGGACAGCGGACAACGGGACCATTTCCACGGCGCTAACGAAGGCTTGTTGGCCCTCATGGTTAGGAGCTTTTTTGGAGGTTACCTTAATCTGCAGGTGGATCACCGCCTAAGATTTTAGCAGCCGGGGGATATCTTACTGGCAATGCACCTGGCGGGAATGGAATTGATGAAGGCAAACCGGAGGAAATGGCCAGGACAGCGCCGAAAGGGGGACCCGCGGGCGACGGACGGCGCGCACCAAGGCCGCCGAGCCCCCCCCCCATCCAGGTCCATCTCCAGTCCGCTGTCCACCTATCGACCCCCAACTGATGAAGCGCAGTTGAGGCAGGTTCCTGGCCAATTATCAATATCCGTTCCCATCGTCCCCGTCCCGTCCAATCTCTTCTCCCCATCGCGAACACGAAGGTTTATCTGACAGTCCTGCACTAAAACCAAAGAAATCCAGATTTACGAGGGGCACAGATCTCCGCCTGCTCTCATCGTTTTCCCTGGGAATCGCATTGGCCATATTACTAATGATCAGGTCCCAACCTAACCTTGCCCCGTACTAATGGACCACCCCCGTGCCCGTTCGCGACATCGTTACCACACTCGGCTCGCCGCGCCGCGCCGGTGGTGAGTCGATGTCTGCTTCAAATTACCAAATGACTGCAACATTTAGGTAATAAGCAGGTTTTGCCCAAGACCGCGCAAATCGTCCCGCATCGCATCGCAAGCCCTCTTACTTAATATTAATACATTTTTGTTTTTCTTCAAGTCAGACGAGACAAGACATCCCGTCTTTGTCTCGCACGACTCACCTATCAATAGGCAAAACCCGCAGCATAATCCCCTTTGTCGTACCCGGCCTCGACCGAGCCCTTTGTCAACCGTCTCTTCATTTCCCCGGGGCGCCGCTGACGAGAGACACATCCATACACTGCCCTTCTCTCTGCGTCCCGAAAAAACCGTGTTGCCTCGCCATTCATTACTCACCGTGTCTCAAATCTCGATATGCATGGAAGCTGCATGGAACGTTGACTCGAGACTACAGGATGTTCGAGGCTTTCGACTAAATCCAATCTTGTTCATCGTCATGTGTGTAACCCTTCTAGATCTCACCCAGCGGACAAAACCCACTCGGATGCCGGAATGAAGCGATATTGTGGACAATTTCAGAGGTTGGAAGGAGTGGAATGTTCCTTAAATTTGCGCGGCCTGCTCGCTGGCCACTGGATATCAAAAACCCCGCTGTCTAAAGTTGAATCAAATCTAACAATGGTAATATCAAAACTCGCTGCAGGCTCGCTTTTCCTCCTTACGCCATACATCTCGTCGTTTCCGGGCAACTGCGTGTACTTTCCCGTCCATATCTCTTTCTTGTAGCCCAAATTCAAAAGATGAACGAAAAATACCCAAAGGAACTATGCGCCTCATGCAATAACCAGCTTATCCAAAGCAACCCTCGCCATCTCTATAATCTTCAAGCAGTTCCGATTTTCTGGGCTGTCATCCTTGCCCTCCGGCACCATCAGGTTGTGTTGCGTATGCAGCATCGGGTGCGGGTTTCCCGCCGCGACGTGCGCGTCTAGTGCGTCATGCCGGTGGTTCGATCTGTCCTCCATCTCCTTGATGACATCCTTGAGACCCAGGTGGTGATACCCCGTGCCGTTCGTCGTCTCGAAGTCGTAGCCGTAAATGTCGACCTTCAGCAGCCCCCGCACCGTGAGCCTCCAGCTGTCGGGATCCATCTCGCGGTTATCAAACGTCTCGATGACGCCGCAGCCCTTGTCTCTCTTGTTCATCTCCCCCCAGAGGCCGCCGTACTCTGCGAACCGGAAGGTGATCATGCGGCTCTCCTTCTTGGCCCGGGCCGTCTCGGCGTCGACGAGCTCGAGGATCTTGGCGTAGGCGTTGGCCGTCGCGGGCAGGATGGTGCCCAGCATCATCATGTTCTGGAAGGACTGCATGGGCGGTGGCTTCGTGATGTCGATGCCGCTGCATGCCGGGCAGTTGATCACGTCGTGGGCTGTTCGGGCGGCTTGGCGGGCCATTGCCATGGCAATCTTGACGTCGTTCGAGAGCCTCGACAGAGCGTCGAGGGACAGGAATATCTGGGAGAGACAGGAACATGTGGTGTTGTCGTACGCCTTGACAGTAGTAGCATCAGGGTCATGATGAGTGTCGTGTGTTTGGGCAGAGGTGGATGATTCGGGCGTGTCGTTGGCAACGGTGTTGGATGCGTCTGATGACGAGGCGGCAGGGGAGACGCTGGAGACCTTGTCGGGCACTTGCGCCGACAGGAGGTCAGTGAAGCTTTTATTAATATCTTGAGGCAGTCCCTCGTCAGCAGAGTCACTTTCGTCAAAGTTGATGCCACCTAACAGGTCAACACCCCCAACCCCAAACTGGAAGTCTCCAGCCGGGTACCGTGGCTCGGTGTAAGCCATGGTGTTGAGGCTCGCCAGCTCGGGCGGCAGCGTCGACGGCGGGCCGTCCAGGGGGGATAGCAGGTCGAGGTAGTTAACGTTGAAGTCTTGGGTTAAGAACGCGGAGAAGTCGGTGTCTAGCGTCGGTTGTGTGATGAGCGGCGCTTGCGACTGCTGTGCTTGGTCTTGAGGCTTGATGGAAGAAGGTTGTGCTTCCGGTGACTCTTCGACGTGTCTACGCTTCCTCGGCCGCCCCATCTGCTTCTGCGGCGAGTAGACACATCTCAGACCCTCTCTCTTACACCGCGAGCAGCCATCTGGCTCCTTGGTGCAAGCAAGCTTTCGCGATCCTGTCGAGTGATGTTAATCACCAATCCATTCTTCGAGGCGGGATGGGGCCACTCCTCACGACACTCATCGCACGCACGATGCTTGACGACACCGTCCGCGGACTTGGACTGACTACTGCTACTTTGGGGCATGACTGATGTGACAAGGGTATCAAGGGGACTGAGAGGCTTTTTGTCGTGATCTGCCTGACAATGTGCGTTGGACGAACTATTCTGATTACTCAGAACTTTCCACACTGTCGGAGTGCGGCGTCCGTGAGGGTTTATATGTGGATGGAGGGGAATGTGTGTAAGGTGACGACGACGTGCGACTGTGACTCTTGGGCGGGACGGGCAGCGTCAACGGCGAGGGCGACCACGATGATGCCCTGGCTAGTAGTGTGTGGCTTGCCCTCAGCTGGATCTCGGGGTGTTCCTTTGGTATTTTTGGGCCACGGTATCCACGGGATGGTGGAAGCATGCGGGTGGTGACGCCGAAGGGTGTGATGCAGAAGCAATGTGCACTCGAGCAAGAGAGTGACCGGGGGCGAGCAAGACACGGGTGCAAACACGAGCAAATGCAAGCAGAAGGGAAAGCTTGTCTGCGGCGCGGTCGAGTCGTAAGTGACAAAGTCCCGGTTGATGTCTAAGGTTGGTGGCAGCCACGCAGCACAGCTTACCTTAGCCCAGTAAGGCCGCTCAAGACCACCTAGACCAGGGTTGGTAAGTACGACTAAGACCAACTCAGTCCAGGTACCTGGGAGAAGTACAGCCCCTCTACCTAACCACGTCCTCGACAGAGAGGAGAGCTCTCGTTGACTGGTTGTGGGGAGAAGGATTCCACGCGGCGTAAGCACCACCTCGACCATGCATATACTGGAGCCTAAGGCGAATCCGAAGTACTTTCGCTAGGTTGTTGTTGGAGGTTCAACGTTGGAGCCGTAGGCGGGGTTGGGGGCTTCCATCTCAGGTACTTTGAGCCAGGCAACCAGATGTCTGCTCATCATTATTCACTCTTGTACACGCATTCATACTATCATCAACACGCACCTAGATACCCAATTCAAATCACGGGCAAAACCTCTCCTTCGAGTAAAGATGCCCGACTGAGCACACGCCGAAGTTTCCAGGCTGTCGGGTCTCAGTTCTGCTCAACCTCGCAGAAGCCACGAAACAGTACCCTCTCTCACGATAGGTGACAGCTACGAGGGCGAGCTAACACCCGATGGACCGCGGGACAGAGTCTCTCTTGGCACAATTCTACGCAGCATATGTGGCGCCGTGATTGGCCGAGAGCATGGCAATTGAAGCCATTTGACTCATCGGCATGGAAAAATAGCATCACTAACGTATAACACATGGATGACAAGGTTCTCCCTTTGTAAACCGTTCCATACGGTGTGTTCGCTGCGTGCCGGAGCTTCCACGCCACCGATGGCATGAGTGGGCTGACGAAGGGACATTTGAATAGCCATCTTGCAACTGACATGGCAAAGCCCCAAAGCCTCCTTTTCGGCTTCAAGCCCCTTCAGGCATGGAAGCATACTGCGTCTGCCGTAGGGCGGCGCCATCAGCAACCTTACGGGATCTGGAGATTGTGTTATTCGACCTTAACGGGCCTTTTCGTCCTGCCATTTGTGCCAAGAATAATCATATGGGACCTGACGCCGGTTAGTCTCATGCTACGTTGTAGCACTTTGAGCACTGGACGGTTGCTTTGGGGTTAGCTGAGCTACAGCTGAAGGACGCCTTGTAAGGCCCTGCACGGGCTACCCGGCCCAAGCCTACAGCGCTCTGAGTTGCGTTGATGATGGGAATTCGCCGGACGGGAGAGAAATGGAAGGCTTCGTGATGCCGGTTGGCTTTGCATTTCGTAACGTGACTTGACCAGCAGCGGTCAAGCTGGCTTAGAATATGACATCCTCACATCGTCCAGTCGCTCCACTTCTTCGAGAAACCATCATCTGCGACGGTGCAGCTGGTGATATATGCGACGGTCTCAAGTTTGAGCGTTTGCCAACCACTGAGAATCGCCCGTGGCTCCCTGCGGTGTCTCTTCGTAGGGCAGATTTCATAGCGATTGACAGTGTTTGACAGAACACGAACCAGCCCCCCGGCACGCTTCGAGTGACCCACTTTTCGATTTCGGTCAACCCCGCTGGGCGGTGTGGAATGCGCTAGCACTAACGACGGCAGAAAAGTGATCGCAGAAAAAAAATTTGGGAATGGGCGCTGGCTGCACCTGCATCGCGAAGCTCCAAAAATAGCCCTTCACCAAGGCAACTTTTTGGCTTTGAAACCACCACAATGGCTCCACGACAAGCGTTAGGCAAGCGGAAGGAACCGCAGGCGGCTGCTGCTCCTGTCGAGGAGGAATTCGGCAATGCAACGTTGGAGGGCATCCTGTCTCAGAGCGAGGATGATTCCGACTACGCCGAGTCTTCTGGCGACGAGGCAGAGCTGAACGGCGACTTGTCTGAGGATGAGGACGAGGACGAGGAGGACATCCTGAGCGACGACATTCCATCCGATGGCGAGGACCAAGACGTCTCTGCGAAACTCAAAGCAACAAAGCTGTCCGCTGCCAATGGCGACGACGACGACGAGCCCAACTACAGGGTCGTTACCGACGCCAATGGCAACGAGCGCTACGAGTACGACGAGATCGATCCCGTCTACGACTCCGATGACTCCGACGCCCAGGAGGCTGCCAACACCATTGGCAACATTCCTCTGTCCTTCTACGACTCTTACCCTCACATCGGTTACGACATCAATGGCAAGAAGATTATGCGCCCGGCCACCGGCGAGGCATTGGACGCTCTTCTGGAGACCATCGAGATCCCCAAGGGATGGACCGGCTTGACGGACCCCGCGACCGGCAAGCCTCTCAACCTGAGCCAGGACGAGCTTGAGCTTTTGCGCCGCGTCCAGATGAACGAGGTTCCGGAGGAGGGCTACGACCCGTACCCCGTAAGTTCCAATGGCGCCTCACGCTACCGATGCGCAGACTAACAGGACGTAGGAAATGGTTCACTGGTTTACTGCCCACGAGGAGAAGATGCCCCTGAGCGCCGCCCCCGAACCGAAACGCCGCTTCGTCCCCTCCAAGCACGAGGCCAAGAGGATCGCCAAGCTCGTCAGGGCCATCAAGGAGGGCCGCATCCTGCCGTACAAGCCGCCTGAAGAGAGGGAGAAGGAGGAGGCCGAGAAGGAAGAGACCTACTACGACATCTGGGCGAACGAGGAGGAGCGCCCGCCGCACATTATGAACATCCCCGCACCCAAGCTCCCGCCGCCCGGCTACGACCTCAGCTACAACCCGCCCCCTGAGTACCTCCCGACCGAGGCCGAGAAGGAGGAGTGGGAGAAGGCGGACGCCGAAGACAGGGAAAAGGAATACCTCCCCGCCAAGTTCGATTCGCTGCGCAAGGTCCCCGCCTACGGCGAGTTTGTCAAGGAGCGCTTCGAGCGCTGTCTCGATCTCTACCTGGCGCCCCGCGTGCGCAAGAACAGGCTCAACATCGATCCTGCGTCGCTCCTTCCCAAGCTTCCCCGCCCCGAGGAACTCAGACCCTTCCCCACGTCCAGTCAGACCGTCTTCCGCGGTCACGAGGGCCGTGTACGGTCGGCCGCCATCAGCCCTGACGGAGAATGGCTTGCCAGTGGTGGTGATGACGGTACCATCCGTCTGTGGCACCTTCGCACTGGTCGTCAGGAGTGGTCCGCCAAGATCAGCCTGGACGAAGCCGTCAACGTCGTCCGCTGGCGCCCGACCAAGGACACCTTCATCCTGGCGGCGGCCGCCGGGGAGGAGATCTTCTTCGCCGTGCCCCCTCGCGGAGCCGACGGCGTCGACAAGGCCAGCCGCGACATCCTCGATGCCGGCTTCGGTTACGCGACGCAAAACCCCCAACCTACGGCCACCGTCACCAAGGAGCAGCCCGGCAAGTGGGCCCGTCCTGGTTCCAAACTCGAGGCCCTCGGCGTCCTGCTCAAGGCCACCGTCAGATCAACCGTCAAGGTCATCAACTGGCACCGACGTGGCGACTTCCTCTGCACCGTCTCCCCCACAGGACAGCGCAGCGCCGTCGCCATCCACACCCTCTCCAAGCATCTGACTCAGATCCCCTTCAGGAAGCTCCCCGGACTGGCCCAGACGGCCCAGTTCCACCCCTCGCGCCCCCTCTTCTTCGTCGCGACCCAGCGCATGATCCGCTGCTACGACCTGCAGCGCCAGGAGCTCATCAAGGTCATCCAGCCCGGCGCCCGCTGGATCTCCTCCTTCGATGTCCACTCGGGCGGCGACAACATCGTCGTCGGCTCCTACGACCGCCGCCTCCTCTGGCACGACCTCGATCTCTCCACCCGCCCCTTCAAGACGATGCGCTTCCACGCCGAGGCCATCCGCGCCGTCAAGTTCCACCGCGGCCTGCCCCTCTTCGCCGACGCCTCCGACGACGGAACCCTGCAGATCTTCCACGGCAAGGTCGTCAGCGACCTCATGGAGAACCCCACCATCGTGCCCGTCAAGATGCTCAAGGGCCACAAGGTCGTCAACAAGCTCGGCGTCCTCGACGTCGACTGGCACCCCTCGGAGCCGTGGTGTGTCAGCGCCGGCGCCGACGGTACCTGTATCCTCTGGACGTAAACAAAAGTACGGGAGAAGGAAAAGAAAAAGTGGCAATCTATCCGTCTCTCTGGGTATATGGGAGAGGATACTTGTATGTTTTTACACCAAAAAAGACAGCGAGGCGTTGGGAACCACCGAAAAGAAACCAAAAGAAACACAACCCCATCATTTGCTTTTTTACTTGTTGTTTTCAATCTGCATTGTGTTAGATAGTACCTTGTAGATTTTTGAAGAGGTATCATAATGGACGTCAACTTAGCACATACGGCATTGCTCCAATGAGTTTGCACACACTGATCAACAACAATGAGGGGTGGGTAGGTGGGTCGTTCACGCACACGTTGCGGGTCAAAAATGCAGTGAAGGAAAATCGCAAGTCGGCGACGTCCAAGATGACACTAAGATCATAATGGACGTCAACTGTGCATATCCGGCATTGCTCCAATGAGTTTGCACACACTGATCAACAACAATGAGGGGTGGGTCGTTCACGCACATGTTAGGGGTTAAAAATGCAATGAAGGCAAATCGCAAGTCGGCGACGTCCAAGATGACACTGTAATTGGCTATAACTATGCGGACCACGGGCTGCCTATGTTCGTAAACATTTGCACCTTGAGACTTGGGGTGATTGCATATTCCATGAACCGGCAGTAATAAAGAGGGGCGGTTCGCTCGCCCGATGGGGGTTATAAACGCAGTGAAGCAAGAGAAACCCGACCCTCAACGAGTATTGCACGATCCATTGTATACTCACAATACCCAGTTACGGCTTGCGTGTGTTTGTAGACACAACACCCCCGCCTTGCAACCTGAGGGTGAATACGAGGATTTTAGAGGCAGCTTAGCTTGATATGTCAGAATGCATGCCTAAACATGAGCAGGGAGATCAAATTTTTGTTTACCGGGTAAAATGACGTCTACATGATGGATCTTGCGCCTCTGGGGTTGTTCGAACGTATAAAACCGTTGCTTTCTGTTTGTTTGGGTCAACTGTCGATGCGAACATGGCTTGTGATGATAGTGGCAGCTGTTATGTGCGTCGTTTAACCGGCGCGCTGGGGGTTGAAAATGCAGTGTATATGGAGCATGCACGTCGGGATGGACGCCTAAGTGCGAGATCGGTTCTTTCCTGGTAACATGAATTTCTGCATGATGGATCCTGTATGCTTGGGATTAGAGATACATCACCACAGACGTCAACTTTGTGTATAACACTGTTCATTTCAAGTGAGCAGGTCGGCCGCGAGTAGCGTTGTCGATGTGGCCAGATGCTTGATCTACCAATGCTTTTTGGGGGCATAGAATTCTTTCCGCTGTTTTAGAACTTGCAAGTCCGTTCGTCCTATCCAGTAGCCAAATCAACCGTTCCACCTCCATGACGGGCATACCTTCCGGCCTAGTAGGGGTCGCGATCAACGAACTCATGACCCATGAAATGAATGTCTCCTGCATGCCCAACACACTTGAAACAAAGATCAAAACGGGCACAAATAGCCTCTGTGCTGGCGCATTGATGGCGACGCCCGAAGATGGCCTATTGACTCGACTGTCAGCACGTTACAAGCGAACATTTGGGGGAAGCCATAAGAAATGAAGGTCGACAACTTACACAATGACAACAATCACAATTACTGTTTGAAACCTCTCCGGCCTCTGTGGGCCTTTCATCAGTTTCGGCCATACGGCTGCTGCTATACTCAGTGTAGGCATCAGTGTCAGCAATGCTGCTAGTCCCGTCCATCTCCTCACCAACGCCGCCGCGTATTTCAGGCTCGTGAAGGCTTTCAGGAGACCACCCATGAAAAACGGCAACATGACAAGGGAGCCAGCCTGCAGGGCGAATGGCTGCCTTCGAAATGTCGGCGCCCATGGCAATCAAGGTCTTCACAAGGTCTTCGTTCCCGGAACGGCAAGCCCAGTGAAGAGGCGTCCAACCGTCAACATCCGGCTTGTTGATAAAAGAGTTGGCAAATTCTTTCTCAAAAAACTCATTTACAAACGAAATATTGCCAACGGCGCAGGCTATGTGCAAAACATTGCGCTGCTGTATATCCTCGGCATGGATCGGCGAGCTCTCGCTCGAAAGTTGATTTATTGTTTCCAAGTCGCCCTTTTCTGCGGCGAAATGGAGCGGCAGACGACCCATGAGGTCCGGCCAATCCTTCAGGTCATTCTTCCTGCGGAGAATAGCATCGATGAGATCCCTCTTTGCTGAGAACGCAGCAACATGAAGGGGAGTGCCCATATACCCATGGAGAGATTCATAGTTAGAAACTCTTGAGCTTCCCGAGGGTATAGATGTTGGGGCCGCTATCGTTCCATTGATCTCCGGCACTAGGTTTGCTCCCCAGTCGATCATAGCGTTGAACTTGAGAAGGGAATCTACTTCGCTTGATGTTGCGGCTTGCGGAGCTGACCCATGAAAACCCCTGATTTCATTCACGTCTATGGAAGCTTGCAAGTGCTCCCATATCCGCTGCAACATATGCATGGTGCCAAAGCGTGCGGCATACATGAATACTGACCCAATTTCGAAGTCGTCCTCGTGTATGGTGTCGTCAAACTTTCTCCATATTTCGAATAATACATCGACCGAACTTGCCCTTCCGTGCTTGATGACGGTGCGTAAAGCCTCTATCGGAGTGGGTATATCTTCAGGAATGGACTCTGGAGAAGTCATCTTTCTGATTTTGTCAAAATGTCTCAGGAGAACCCTGAGCACATTGTCGGTTGACCACTCTAGAGTGAATTCCAGGAGACTTGAAGCGCCATAACTCCAGTAGCCGGTGATACAAGCTTTAGCGTTGTAACGCAGGAGCAAATCGACTGCTTGTTCATTCTCCCACCATATCGTCTGCATCAACACCGATCTTCCTCCTTTTATGAGAGTTTCTGTTGATGCACCTGCATCCAGGAGCAGCTTCATGGAGTCTAGAGAGGATATCTCCGAGGCGATAGCTAGAGGCGTCGTCTTTGAGTCGTCGGCCATTTCGAGGCTAGCACCCTGGAGGATCATGAAATGTACCACCCGGGCATGTTTTCCCTTGATAGCATGGTGAAGGGCGGTATTGGAGGTTTCGTCCATTGCGTTGATGCAATCCTCCCGTATTTTTGGGTCTCTGAGCGTGGCAACGCTGAGAATTGATTTCATCGCGCGATCCAGCCCGTACTTGGCAGCGTGAAGGAACTCAGTTTTCAGGTCTTCGGTCGACATGAGATCAACCAGTCTCTCGGCGATGCGGTGATGACCTCCGGCCGCAGCATTTGTTACTGGCGTTGAAGGCTCGTTGTCTTCCGTCCAAATATTTGAAGTCTCGTGAGGGGGCAGGCTGGGTGACTTCTGGGACAGTAGATATTTGACGAAATCTTGATGGCCGTATTTGGAGGCAAGACAGAGCGCTTTTCGCATGTGGCCGTCTCCGGTTTCGTCATCACCCAACTTGAGCTGCTTAGCAAACTCAACAGACCCAATGGTTGCCGAGACGATGAGTGGCGTTCGACCTTGCGAATCCGTGGCTACCGAAGGGTTCCGTAAGTTCTCCATGATGTGACGGGCACTGAAGTGTGCCATGTTGCAATCTATAGCCGTGAACAAAGCCTTTTCAATAATCTTCTCCGCGTCGAGAAGGACATTGTCTTCAGCATCGTCGCTTTCTGAGCTTTCGCTACTATCATCCTCTTCCTCGCGGCTTCGATTTTGGTTTTCATACTCATCATAAACCGCGTCGAGATATTTCCCGTAAACCGCTCTAGCCATCTCATGGTTTCCACTCTCAAGGGCTAAGAAAAGGGGATGTTTGTATGCACCTTTCAACGCGATCTTGAAGTGATTGTCATCAAGGAGACTTTCCAGAGTCTTTAGGAATCCATGTGTGGTCACAAGTCCTATGGCTGATTTCGAAAGTTCCTCGTTTGCATGTGCCCTCGAGTGAAGTGACGCAAGTGTCTTGCTGAGTATGAAGAGACCTCGAGCCGATGTAATGAGTAAAGGACACCCAGGTGAAGTCGAACATATGCAAGAAAAGCCGCTCTCTTGTTCGTTCCCAATCTTGTCAATCAATCTCGATGCAATGGACGACTGCCCTTGGTGACAAGCGGCATGTAAGGCGTTCCACAGAAACTCTTTTTCAAGAGAGAGGGGAGCCAAATTGATGTTCAGGCCCAAAATTCTTTCCACCACGTGTTCGTCGCCATACTCAGACGCAACCTGCAAAGCTGTTCCAAGTGTAGTTTCAACGGTGTTCTCGTTCTTTCGCCCGATAGACGTAATCATATCCAACAGCCATACCGCCGTACTGACGTTACCAATGGCGATAGCAGTCAAGAGGATATCGACAAAGCTTTCGTGGAAAAAGTCCCCATTGTCGTACTCTGCAACAAATCGAACCCGGAAAGTATCAGAAGTTGCTGCCACAAACTTCTGCAGTGTACTTGGTTTCCGGCAGGTGTCAAACAATGTTTTCTTTTTGAAAACTATTTCGAAAGACGCTTCTTCTGACATGTGCTTCCTTATGACTTGCAGGAGCAGCCAGTCAAAGTCGTCTCCAGTGGTGAGAGGCAAGGTGGCCATTCGAAATGAGACATAAGACGCAGCGGCTGAATCAGTTTCCATGAAGTTTCGTATACTTTCGGGCAGGATCTTGTCCGCCAACCATTCCAAACCGGAGGACCAGTGCAGTGATGCTAGATATCGAATCCAGGCGTCTTGATTGAAACGAGGAGTTGAGATGAGAGTGCCCCGAAAGGCCTCGCTGAGATGAGAAGCGTCACGACTGCCTCGCAGGTGATGCTCCATCCAGTATCTCGCTGCATACTGATGCAAAGCTTCGCAACTCGAAGATTTTGCTGTGAACTCGGCATCATCCACCGACCTGTCTACAGGCTCTGAACAATCATCCTCCATTGATGGGCCGGACTGAAAACGATTCGCAATCACGCAGAAGCAGGTCCGCGCGATGTATAGTTCTGGATCATCCTGGCAGCCGGAATGGCTAGTCCACAGGGAAGCTAGTATCTGTCGGAGCTCTGATCGTCCCCAAACAGCGTCTTCCGTGATGGTAAGCAAGCTCGGAAGGGCAAGGTCCAGAGCTTGAAGCAATGTCTCGCCAATTCTATCCTCTACCTGCAAGGAGCTCTCCTGAGAGCACACAATCTCAAGGACCTGTTCCATCTCGAGACGTGATAGGGGCCTGTTGGCGAAGCAGACAAAGGCCAAGGCACGCAGCACCCAACTCATACCATTCTGGACACATCTTGACAGGACTTGCTCTAGTGCAATGGAAATTTGGTTTGAGGTTGACAGAGATATGAGGCCGTTTTCAGAATTACCCGCACTTTTGTCGAAGTTCGGGTTGTCGCAATGTTCCGTATCCCCGAGCATCTTAGCCCACAGCTAGAATGATCGGCCCTTTCGCGCGCTCTGTAGACAAGTTCGCGCGGCTGTGGCCTCCGAAGGGGTGTTGAACAAGTCGACACAAGGGGAGCCATCGATAACATCCAACCCAGTCATGACGCCCGAAGGTGTCGAAATCAACAGCCGAAAGGGAATCTCCGATTGTTGCGTTGATGCGAGAATCTGAGAAACAACTTCTCTCTGAGGTCCTTTTGGTGCATATTCCACTAGACAGTACGTGATTCCGGGCTTAGGGGCAAGAAGGAGCGTTCTGAGGCATCGCGATAAAACCCTCATCTTCCACCGATCATCCAGCCCCAGTGTAGCATCTCTGAGATTCGGATACAAGTGTTGAATCCACAAGATAAGACTCGGCCGCTGCTTCAAAAGCTGCAAACAGATAGAGATATAAATCTGTTGATGTGTAGATGTGGAACCGTGAGAATCGCCGCATTCTAGACGAAGGAAGATGTCCATCTTCCCCTCCGAAGTTGTCTGGATGTGACCGGAGAACGCCTTGAAAAAGTCATGAAAACGCATGTTCTGGGGTGATATCAGGCGAATAATATCGACATCTGACGTATTTTGCCACTTTTTGGCGCTCTCATCCGAAAAGAAAGCCAGCGTATCGCCGGTGAGAGACGGAGTGTCCTCCTTGAAAAGATAGCAGTGTTTTCGCTGATTGATTTGCAACACAGCGAGGAACTTCTGGTAGAAACTCCAGCGACCTATGCAGGGTAACACATAAAGTTAGAAAGACAGCGATGTTCTTTTGAGCAAGGAACTTACGGATATTCTCATTCAGTAACGTCTCCCTCATCCATCGGCGCTGCTGATGTCCTAACAGGATGCTGAGTTGATAGTGGCTTCGCTCCAACGAAACATGCATTTCTGTTTCGAGACCCACGGTAGCGCAAGGTGCGTCTACGATCTGGCATCATGTAAGGCCGAGGCTTGTGGCAGATATCACCGGGGTTTGGGAAACTCACGACATCATAACTGGGCGAGTCACTTCTCTGACAAACATTCAGGATCCGGAAGTGGGGAGCCAGCTCTCTGAAGCTATCATTGAGTTTTTCGTGATACTGGGACATGCGTTCGACGTAGTCACAAATCCATAAGTCTAGCAACCCGTTGAAGGCCAAATGCAAGAGCCGCAGCGCGCTGAGAGCCCAGGCTTGTGAGTTGACAGACCTGTGCGGTGTTCCGTAGAAGATCTGGGAAGGATATCCGGATTAATGCTGATCTGGAATACGGAGGCCAAGTGAATATATTCAGTTGGGATACCTACGACGAGACTGGTTTGATCGAAGATCCACCTGTAGTGGTCATTCAGTGATGCTTGGACAAGTGCCTTGAAAGACGTCAGTTAGGTCCCTTCGCACGATGATTTAGGCTACTTACCTGTTTAATGATCGAGCCTCCAAGATCGTATGCAAAGAACATGAAAGATAGAGGGTCGACATCTCCTCCTTTCACGCATCCGGCATTTTCACGCAGGAACTCGAGCAGATCGGCGGCTACCTGGAGTATAGTCTCCTCGGATGCCGTTTCATCAACAACTCTCGTTCGGTCATAGCTGAAGGTGAGCTTCAAATCCTGGTCCACGACCTGGAGAAGCTCGTCGGTGTCCAACAGCTGAGGATTGGTCTTGCCGTCTATACCGTGAATGAGGACCGCACTGCAGATTGTGGTCAGCGAGGCACACCCAGTTAGTAGAGGCTTTATAGAGGCTCCTATACCATGGTTTAACAAGTTCAGGAATATCCCGACTCTCGACACCCGGAAGATGGAACACCGCTGATTCTTCCCACCACTCAGTCTTCGAAGTCATTGCTAAGATTGGGGACAGGTGTACGGCCTATTCCAACTGCAAATTTGGTCGCGATACTGGAACAACAGGAAAACCAGGCCGCTTGTATGTTTTCCTACAATAGTATCAGTCGGTTGACCGCTCGGCATTTAGAGTCGGGGCTGACCTATCCGGATTGCTATTCCGTTGACCAAGGGCTTGGCACCCTGAAACTAGATAGACCAGATCACTTTTCATTTATTGACTTTCTTTTTCATGCATATGGGTGCATCTCGTACATGCTCAATATGGACCCCCAGGTGGGGTTGGTGTCGTCGAAGGATGCACGTCTTGCTTTAATGGGCAATTATCGTCGGCCTCATGTCCAGGGGTCCTCAGCCGCACATTCCTTCGATTCCACAAACTCTCTGAGGAACAAACTAGTGAAATAAAAGAAAAGTTCAAAAAGAGGGGGCGAGATAGCATCGTTCTCTCGCTTCCTCTGATGACCCATCCGTGAAGAGCAGGCGTGAAATGCGAGCAGGCTCATCAGCTGCCGAATGTCAATAATCCCTCCTGTGCTTTTAATTTACACCATCGGTTATCAAAAGACACTTTCAAATTGAATCTTCAGAGAAATACACAACTCGAACCGGAACATACAATTGCAAAAGCATCATGAGCTCAACCGATGATGACGCTACCACCGGAGACGAAGGGGATGTAGTGGACCAGCCGAACAGCTTTGCAGTCCAAGTTCGACACTTGATCACGACTTTTCTGAAAGAGAAACCCATACAGACTGAGCCATCGGAGATACCGAGCGACCCAGAGTTCCGACAAAAGTACGAGAGAATGATTCTGCCTCTCGTGAGACGATGGCCCTCAGAGCCAGCAGCACCCAACTTTGTCCATGAAATAGTGGAAAGTCAATCCGAACTCAAGATCAACGGCATCCCCCGGTTTTTCATGAGAAAACACAAGATATTCTTCTTGGAAATCGCTATTTCCAACGACTTTCAACAGCTAGCCCAACCCTTACTTTCTAATGATGATACAATGCTGCATCATGTCATCAGGAAGGATCCGCGCCAACGTTCGGGAAACCAGAACGCCCTGTCAGGCGAACCAGACGACGTTCCTTGGATACTGCTCTTCTGTGACATGATACAGAAGGGCATTGAGAGTAGGTCCTTGAGTTTGGAGGATGCCGCCGAAATCGTGTCCAAGACAAACAAACGAGAGGAAACCTGCTTACATCTGGCTCTCATCGAGGACCTGCCCAACGTCTGCCGCCTCATTGATCTCGTCGACGAAACTGCGCTCAAAAAGAAGCGTGATAATGGAAACACGCCTCTACACGACGCCCTCGCGTTTTCCAAACGATTTGTTGTTCCAACCCCGAGGTGCAAAACGCCAACATTGAGAATGGAGATGAGCTTGGAGGCGAGCCAGCATCAGGACGCTTCATCGCAAGTCGACGAAAAACCACCAAACTGCTGCAATGAGCCAGCCCTTGGACTGAAGATGAGCGCGGAGATGAGCCAGTCTGAGGTCATTTCCTCTCAACTCAGCAATGACTTGCCCCCCTGCAATACCTGCTTGAAATGGGAGAAGGATTACCGCGCAACCAAAACTCAACGATCCCACATCATCTGCAAGCTCATAAAGAAGTGTCCAGAGGGCTTGGCCTTTATCAACAAAGCTGGAAAATCGCTCTTCAGTGAACACGTAATGGGCCGTGAAGAATACAGACAAAGGAAGGGATATGGAAAGACTGGTGCGGGAGGGGGCCAGCAAAAGTCAGCAGGCAATAACTTCATCCTTCGAAACAAGACTGCTCAATCAAATGAAATGTCAACCTTACAGAAACCCGATTGTTCGACAGCCTCAAAAGATCGCTACCACTTCTCCATGGAGGTTGAGAAGCTGCTGTGGGAACAGGCTTTCCAGATCAAGGACTACGAACAAGCTCGCCTATGTCTCGTCCCAAAGATTGACGGTGTGAAGGCTAAGGAAACTCTAGGTAAGGTCAAATTCAACAGAATGCTAATTAGACATGCGTGAGAAGTTTAGCTGATACGTCTTAGCCTCTCGAAAGAACGAAGAATTGCATGATGTTTTCATACCCAAGAGGAAGATAACCACGTCAACTGAGAATTCATACCATTATTTCAAATTCTTGCCAACACTTGCCTACGTTCGCTTGAGTCTGAAACCAGACCCCGAGTTTGATAAGGATTCGTCAAAGAGTCCCGAAGAGTTGAGAGACAGTTCATCTAGGGCGTTGAAGTCAGTGTTCTCGTGGCTAACGGGGCCTAAGAACGTTAAGCGAATTCTCAAGCTTGTGGTTGAAGACAACGAAAACTTTCCCTGCAGCGAGCGCGACGTTCGGGAGTGTCTAGACAAGCTGGAAGACGTACGATATCTAGACTGGAAAAGACCCAACATGTCGGCTCCAACGCTTTTGAAGGCACCGAACGTGGTGGAACTGTGGCTGTATTCGACTGGGATCAATGCTGTTCTTTCAAGCTGGGCAGATAAAGGAGGACTTCAACGGTTGCAGAAGGTGCGTATGAAAGAGTACCATAAAAGGGGGGGGGGGGGGGGGGGGGGGGGATGGCAGGACTAACATGGAACCCTGCAGCTGCGCAAGGTACATCTCGGAGCAAAGCCTGTCAGTGGCCCCATTCTTCCAGAATATTTGCGACTTTGATGCTATGAGTGCAGTGCTGATACCTTACTATAGGGCATAGAAACCATCAAAAGTAATCAGGACAACGTCGAAGAATTCAAGAAACGACTTCAAGACTGGTATTCAAAGCCGGGGCGAGGGGTAGCCCCGCAAGTATTTGAGAAGTATCCATCGACCGTTCCAGCAAGAAACAATGGCACCCAGAATCACAACGACGTCACAGCAAAAGCGTATGTAGTAATTCCGCTCCAATTCCAGTTGCACGATCGAGCTGCTAACATCATGTCGCCGTCAAAAGGTCCAATGACTGGTTCGGCACCTTGGACAGGATTGTGAAAAAGCTGCGCCAAGAGGCCTCTTCCAGAACCAGAACTGGCAACGAAGAGGATGATTCGGATGACGAGGAAGACACAACTCACTATATAAAAGTGGCCTTGCTCGATGACGGAGTTGATCCTGAATCAGGCTCTGGGAAGTTCATGTCAGGATGGGGCTGGCCGCGCCCGTCAGAACCCGCAGGGGCCTTTTATTCGTCGGGAGAGAGGAGACACGGCAATGCGATGGCAAAGATGATCACACGAGCATGCCCATTCGTTCGTCTGTATGTGGCTAAGCTGGACGCAGCCGAGACGTCAGAGGAACCATCGCATCCAACTTTCGAAGTTGCCCAAGCCACCGAGGTATGCAACACAGGAAAAGGCCTGAGCTTCTGAGCAGTACGTTTGGATAACTGACATGATACAGGCTATCCTGTGGGCTATTGAAATGAAAGTTGAGGTCATTTCCATGAGCTGGAACGTCATGCTGGGCGAAAATAGCGTCGAGAAGCGCGGCTTGCAAGACGCTATCCTGGCAGCCCAAAGAGAGGGTATTCTGATGTTCTGCGCCGCGAGCGAGAAGAAACCAACTGAAACGGACGACAAGTCTTGGCCTTGTGGCTTCGCCGAGACGATTAGCATCGGCGCTGCCAGTGAGCGCCGCAATGCCCAAGATTATGTCGGCGATGACGCGAATTTCATTCTTCCCTTGGATGCCGATGGGGCCGGCAGTGGTAGCTCTGCCGCGACAGCTCTTTCTGCTGGCCTAGCATCGTTAATCCTCTACTCATTCAAAAAAGCCCGGTACGACAAGGACAACAAGCAGTCTGAGAAGTTACCAAAACGACCGGGTAATTCATCGTCCGCAGAAGAGGAAGTTCCCCATATATTGATGAGGAACGTCTTGGACAGTCTGTGTAAGCGAAAAGACAGCAAATATGTGGACATCAACATGCTGGGTTCGTCAGTTACGTTTGCCGGTATTGCGAACCAGTACCAACAGTACGTCAGAACCAGCAAAAGCAAACCAGGAAAGTTGCCAGGATTGTAGATTAGGTCAGAGCACAGAAAGAGTGCCATTTAGTATCAGTACCATGATGTTAGATTGCAACCAGATTGGACACAACAACTTCAGATATCATCACCTTTGGCTAATTTTCTAAGAAGTGTTCAGAATGGTCGTAATTAGATAATTACAACAGTAACTAAGAGGGCGCGTAAAGGGAACACTATCAAATCCTATAGCGAGACATGACACTTAAGCGTGATCTAAGTATCTCTTCAGCTTCACGCTGCTCCTCTCGCAAAATCGCGTTTGTCATCTGGAGTGATTTATCGTTATTCGAAGGTGCCCGTGGAGTGACAGAATCTGCTTTCTCTGCTTTCTAGCCACAGACAAGTCGAAGTTGCGCTCCGTGTTATGTGAACTGTGAGGGCAAGGTTAATAGATCTTGGTTAAGAGATCTTCCTCCAGCATATGCAGAAACACATCAAAAGTGAAAAAGGCGGCTATCTCGGTATCTTCGCTGGTTGGCAATAACTTATCATATGTGAGGATGCGCGTAATATACTTAGCCTCTTGGACTACATAAGCTGAAATAGAAGTTTCCACAAACACCCATGCAGTGGAGTTCTTCAGATATGGAGCTGAGCAATCAACCCATGCTCAGAAGGATTATGTCTAGTGCGCAACTTATTGGATAGTGATAGCCATAGTGATCCTGACCACTATTTTGGAAAGCCTTGCGAGGCCGCGATGATAACGTGATGGGTTTGAGGGCCACGTCGGACTCCGTGTTGGGCAGCGTGGCATATGTTGTCTAGCTTGACTGACCCATCGTATCTAACCGCATTAGCATCTATGGGATTTCAGCCTGCAGATCTCGGAACTATTGCCTCCCAGAAATGCCACGAAAGTTTCAGAACTGATGTTTTGCATGGCATACAAAATCACTAACTTGACGTTATAACCTGGAAAGAACTTCCGGAATAACTCAACCAGTCCGAGTCCTCCACGTCAAGCAAAACGCTCAAAGTACTCCATCAAAACACCCAAGATGAGCGACGAGTGGACCTTTTCCTCGTCCTTCGAATACGCCAATGAGGAAGATGCTCAGTGGCAATTTCACGACAAGCCAGGGCAGACACATCGCCAGGATCTCACCGGCTGGGAAGCCAACAATCGTTCCGGGGTGAAAGGTCGTCTTCTGGAGGTGGTTCATGGCTACAAAGCCAATGACGAAAGCAGACCTCGTACCCTCATAGTGTTTGAGTGGTTGTTAATTCCTGCCGGGCGGAAGGACCGCATCAAGGACGTGGTGATCACTGTTGCGTTCAAGGCAATTGGCCACCGGGATGGAGTTGGCCCGGGGGAAAGCCTCGATGACTTCGACCCGGTGCCTATCAAGTGGGCGCCGGGCCTACCGATCTGCAGCGGATTCAGTAAAGCCACCGTGACCGAAACGGCGAACACAGATGCGGGTGTGCAAGCTGGCTACAATGGTCTCAGCCTGTCTGTCAACCGAGGCGTGGGGACATCGACGACAGTCGAACGAATGGATCACCGCCTCATTACAGGCTCGAACTCGTATGTCGACAAGAATGATGGGATAAGCAACGCCATGCAATGGCGCTTTTCCGAGAACGCGCAGCTGAAGAGCGGAGTACAGTATGTGGTGCGCACGGCGGTTCTCCTGCGGCGCCGGAAATTTGACGATGGCAACTTCAATGTGGTTGTTGTGGCCGAGGCCAATGGCTCAAGCACAAGCCGCATGCTTCGCACGGTGAGACGCTTCTTGGGGATTCCTTCGAAGGACGGGCCGGCTGCGTTCGATCCCAAGGTGCTTCCGGGATCAAGTGACGGAGAAGCCGGCGAAGATGACATGGCGGCGCGAAAGACTGAGCGTGACTGGAGGAACCTCGATAATCTGAAGCTCGAGGATGTCTTGCTGAAGGATTGGGGACGCGAATCAGTGGAAGAGTCCTCCAAGAATAGTTCCTAAAAGAGATCAAGTTGATTCACCCGCAGTAGGATAGCTTGTATCAAATTAAAGAATTAGAGATGCAGAGATGTATGTCTGCTAGGTGTAGTGAATACATGCCACTTTTCGAACAAGGCTGATTTTCCATGTCTGGGGTGTAAATGTGCAATTGAAGTGTTGAAAATCGCCAGTATCGACATTAAAAGCTGCTGCTCTGGGCCGGAACAATCGAACATGACCACTAAATCCTTGACGGAAGACATCCATCTTGAAGCTTAATATAGATGCCAGAACAATTGATGAATATGTAGAGTTTGTTATGTTTCATATTTACAGCATTGCTAAGAAGACTTTGCTAGATACGAGTCAATCGATATCAAGCTCAAATGCTGTTTTCGTTTTCAGGATAAACTCCGCCATGTTCCACGATTCCATTCCCGTCTCTCAAAATCGTACTCATGTTCGTCTCTCAAAATCGTACTCATGTTGTTTCTGGCCCCTGTAACACGCACGTTTGATTCATGAACTCAAGACCACGTCACAGGTTAGCCTTCCACGTAGTTCTGCATAGCGGCACTTTAGATTCCTTCAATCTTCCTTCGCCAGCTGATGGACTATGGCGAATATATTTTGTACAGGGTAAAGTAGTGATAAAGTTGTGACTATACATATCTCTCTAAAGGATAAACCAAAATATGTCATGTTGTCCTTGTCTTCAGGCATTTGATCAAGACTGGACCGCAGTTGGACTCTGCGTCGTAGTTTTCTCAGACGCTTAAGCAGCAGCCAGAGTCGCAGCCGGCACAGGACTATCCTCCTTATCGGCTGCCACCGGCTTTCGTCCTACCAAAAAGTACCTAGAATAACCCTTTAGCATCAATTTCCATCAACTCACAAGACTGGACATTTGGGCCCATCAGCCAAACTCACATGGGCACATAGGCATGATACGCCCTGTTCTTGAGGTCCTTCCGCACATCGACCAGGAACACCTCAACTTCGTCGCGCGTCCATTCGTACGCCCGGGTCAAGGGCGCCATAGCCAGCCCATCCGCGGCCATCATTGCGTTCTCGTGGCTGAACATGCCAATATCCTTGAAATGGGGATCCTTGGGCCACGTCCCGAGAGGCCACTTGTACTTGCTCAGTGTGACATCCTCAAAGCCCACGTCGGCCATGAGCTCCTTCAGCTCGCTAGCCACGACGAAGTTACGTCCAAACTTGGTACCTGCGCCTCTGAGAAGCTCGCCGAACCGCACTAGTGCGGAATCGGCTGGCAATGTGTCGTAGTCGGACAGGAATGCCATTTCGGCTTCTTGGAGCTCGAGGTAGCCGCCGGGTGTGATGTTGCTACAAACGTCTTAGTGAAGAGCTCTCCAATCGACGACATTGAGTTTGTGTCAGAGTGGTGGAAGTAGAAGGATCAAAGAATTAAAGGCTAAAAAGGCGGAAATATTACTTGTAGCAATTAGTTATGTACGCTTTCCAGTCGGCGAGACTCGACGTCATGTGACGGCTGTGAATGTATTCGAATGGCTTGGTGTAAGTCCACTCGTCTTCGATGTCGTCGACCTCGAACTTGACGTTTGGGGCCACACTGGATGTAAATGTAAGATTCTTGATTTGTATACTTCGAGTAGTTGCGCCACTTGAGGCCGAATGCAAGAAGCACTTACAAGTCAGGTTGCGTAGGAGACAAGTCGACACCGAGAACCTGAACCCATTCAATTAGAGTTCATTCTTATGAGGCCATACTGCTGTCTTTTGAACTGACCTCAGTCTCAGGGTGGTCATCCGCGAACTGGATAGCCCAGATACCGGTGCCGGTGCCGATATCAAGAGCTCTCTGGACTTTGTACGCTGGGTCACACGCCGGTGCGAGGCCGAGCTTGCCGCCAAGGGTCAGAAGGGCCAGATGATGTTGCAGGTCTGTCATTAAGGTCAGAAAACTGAATGCTATAAGAAATGCCAAACCGAATAAGCTGGAAAGAGCGGACCAGTGATGTTTGAAGAGAGCACCATAAAGCGTGCGTACCCAGTCTGTCATTCTCCTTTTCGTCGTTCGGAAAATGGTATTCTTGTCCGAGTCAGCGGCGGTACACGATGTAGTCAACAACGGAGGCGGAAGACTCACTGCCCTCCTTGTACCGGTGATAAGTTCTGCCATTCTCGAAGTGATAGTCGCGAAGAGACTCAGAAAGGCTGGTGCTCGAGGAAGCGATGCTCTATGCGCGTACGCCATTTATCAGTTCCAGGACGACATCAGGTGCGCGACCTTAAACCCACCTGGACCTCAGCACCGTCATCGACCGGGCTCTGTGCGAAAAGTCAGCAACGATTGGGAAGAAAGAAGCAATGGTGCCATGGCAGCCTTGGTGGAGACTCACGTTGTCCTCGGCTCCAATTTGGATTTCGTGGTCGACCTGAGCCATCGCTTGTTCCGTGGATGACGACTATATGTGTACGCGATACTGCGACGATGGATCAGAATGAGATCGAATTCCGATGCAGGTTTGAAACGGCAAAGTTCAGAAAAGAGTCGTGATGTTGGAAAGAAAGTGGAAGACTCGCGGAGGGAGGTTGTGCGACAACAGGCCGGCGCAGAACAGACGACCCCTCCTTCCTGACCCAAGGAGAGGGGCGAGAGATCCAAGATCCCTATCCAGAAAAGCACCAGGACCAAACATGCATATGCAGTCCAACGGCGAGGTTGCCCCTTACGTTCTGATGTGGAGTCCGAGGAAACAACATGGCGAATGGGAGATCAACGTTGGTTGAACAAGACAGACGAGGCTGGGCGACATAGCTGCCAATTGCAGAATGTCCCTCGGCCTGCATGCCCGTCCCCGAACGAATGGTTCCCTGAAATCCCGACCCCGGGGAACTGGTTCAGATTGTCTGTCATGTTGTGATTCTTTTCCAATCTATCTCTCCATGCTATCCTTCCTCTCCGCATGCATAGTGGTTTTTTCTGCCGTAGATGCTTTCTCTTTATGATATTGTCGTAACTGTCGTGAAAATCGTCGCCTCCCTCGTCCCAATACCGACTATCGACCCATGCCAAACATCTCTTGTGTAAATCCGATAGCAACATCCCATCAACCGGCCTGCTTTTCCCGTGGATGCACCAAAATCATACCTTCAATCCCATTCTGCCTCTTTTAAGCAGCAATCTGCGGAACTCCAACAACCATCCCCGGCCCGCCGGCGCCACCAACATCGACATCCATCCCCTCCCACGGCAGCTCAGGCACCCCAACCTCAGCCATGACTCTCGCCACAACGCTCTCAAAGGCATCCCGCTCGATGATAGCTCCGAAGTGGATGCAGTCCACCACACCGCAGAATTCCCTCTTGAGCGCCTCGATGACGGGCTCCTGCATCAGCGCCTGCGCGCCGTACCGCGCCGCGAGCTCGAACCACGCCTGCACCGGCGTCAGCTCAATGTCGCCCGGGTTCAGCGTCTTGGCCAGCGACAGCAGCGACCGCAACGTCAGCGAACTGCCGGCGCCCGAGGCATGCCATGTGTGCTGCGTCTCGACCTCACGCCGGCGGATGGAGCGGTACACGCGCTCCGGCGCGCTTGACATGCACATCGTCGAGGCCATCATCGTGTGGCCGGACGCTGCCTTGGTTGCGTCGGCGTGGCGCGGGTACTGGCGCGGGTGGAAGTGGTCCCAGCAGATGTGTTCCATCCTGTTGGGTCGACGTTAGCATATGGCGGGTCTCCAGAGCTTTTGTAGGTCTGTTTGAGGGGGTACTGAGGGGACTTACGCAAGGATGAGGTTAATGGCGATAATCTCCTGCTCAGGAGACAGCTGATCCGGCGTAGCAGGCCGCACCGGTGTTGAGAGACTGCTAGTGGACGAAGAGCTGATCTGGAAGCACGGCGTGCCAAGAGTAGCGTCCTTGCTCATCGTGACAGTGATGTCGCCCATGTTGACGTCCCCGAAGAGGTCGGCAGGCGGATACGGGTCATAATCCAACGGCTGCGCCATCGACACGTCCTCCGGCAACATCTGCTGCTCTTCCGCGCTGAACACCTGCGTATCCGTCTGCTCCTGCTGGAACTGTTGTTGTTGTTGTTGCGGCGGCGGCGCGGGGACGTGGGAATGCTGCGGCTGGCACGGATGAACCTCCACCGGCTGCTGCATCACCTCCTCGTACGACGGCTCCTCCACGGGCGTCTCCTCCGCGGCGGCGATCCTGACCGCGCCGACGAGGACGTCCTTCTCCTTGCCCTTCAGCTCCTCGGGCACCCTCAGGCCCCGGGCCCTCAGCGCGCCCTTCATGCCCTCGTTGTCCCGGCGGTACGCGAGCACTTCCTTCTCTGCGGCGGCAATCATGTCCCGGAACTTGCACACGTCGAGCTCGAGCTGCTTGATGTAGTTTGCCTTGCGCGTGCGGTGCTGGATCTGCGCCTTGCGGACTTGTTGCCGTCGAAGTTTCGCCTTTTCTTTTGCGTGGTCCGCGGTGGCAGACTCAGCTGGTTTGCAAATGGCGAGGTTAGCTTGCTTGCTCGTTCTCTCTTTCTTCTAATGTCGTCGTCGTCGTCTTATATGATGATGATTCGACGAGAATATCAAGGGCTCCGAAATTATCAAGGAGGATATAATGAAACGAAGCAACATCTCCAGAACGTAAAACAAAGGTAATGAGACATGGGGGTTCGCGGCTCGTGGTTCGATGGAATCTTTGGTGTAAGTGCCAAAATGGGTGTGTGCCCACACATAATGCGGGAAGCAGAGCCAGCTGACTTCCGAATCCAGCAAGTTTGATTCCAGAAGCCAAGGAAAGGGTTCAGACCGAGATCTTCGCAAACCCGGTAGCGGTGTACGCATCGGGGGTGCAGGAAAACCGGTCGTCTGGTGGTAGGGCACCACACCTTGGAATCAAAAGCCGGGCTTGGGATGCAGGGACACACAACACACCACAGACACTCACACACACACTGGTGCGCTTCATCGTTCGCGAGGTCCGCTGGGGGAGGGGAAAAGCGCGCACACACACGCGCGCCTCCAAAAGATTCCCAACGCAACCACGCCATCTCGCCTCTTAGCGGCGGGAAAGACGCCACCCGTGCTGGCTGCGATGAGGAATCATTGCAACAGCCAGACCCAGAAGACAAGACGATCGAATAAAAAAAGCAAAGACCCCTGCTTGCCCACCCTCGACCGCTCGCCCGTGACAAATCAATTACTGTATTCCAATGCAGTAAGACATAAGAAGGGTCGAGATGCAGCACCGTGGAAAGAAAAAGTGAGGTGATCGCCAGAGAATCCCAGCAACGCAGCATCAAGCAAACCCCCATTGAACCAGTGAACAGCCGCGAATGAGAATGGATGATGGAATCTTGATATCCGAAAAGGGGGACAGCATCTGCACGAAATAAATCGGAACTCACATGAACCCTGCCGCCGCTGGTCCAGCGGTTGCGGAGAAGCACTGCTCGTGCTGGTGGCCGTCACCGCCGCCGCCGACGAAGAGGGACCCGACGTGCCCGGCGGCGGCCCCTCAGTCACGAACTGCACCCGTCCCGCCCTCTCACTCTCCTTCTCGCCCTGCCAGTAGTCCGAGAAGGAGGGCCTGTTGAAGTTGTTGTTGTCGACGTTGCTGCCGCCCCTGTCTTGCCGCTGCCCCTCCCCCGCCGCCGATGCCGCCGCAGCAGCCTCATTCGACAGCCACACCTGCTGATGATCCGCCATAACCGCTCACCGAAATGTCTGATGAGGAATCAAACAGCTTCAAAAGAGAAGGTCGGTCCGGGCGTAGGAGTGCGAGAGATGGCGCCCACAGAAAAAGACGGTGAGAGGACTCGTTTGTTTTAAGAACCGGCGATTGGACCGGAAGATATGGAAACGAATGATAAGAGCAGCAAATGGTTCGTCTAGATATGCTGTTCCGCTGAATCCGTCCTCTTGTCTAGACGAAGAAAAATCTCCACGCGGAGCGGGACGAAAAAGGCAGAAGCGTTGGAATGGGGAAATCGCAAAGACTTAAGAGAAATGGGCGATTCCAAATTCCCATCCTCTCTCTGCACGCCACTGGGGAGGAGGACCCTCACTCGCCTTTTTTTTTTCCTACTACTGCTGCCGCTGCCGCTGTCGCTGCGTGGGATGGCAAGAGGAGTTAGCAGTACCTAGGAGCCCACCCAATGTACCCTCAGTCAAAACGATCCGACGGGAGAGGGAGGGGGAATGTGGTGCCTGTCGGCGCTTGCTAGACATCAGGTTTTGGGCTTGACGTCCGGGGGCTGGCTGTGTCCTGCTTCAAAGGGCGGAAAGAGGAGAGACCAGACCAGGGGAGGAAGGGCTGCCAAAGGGCGCTTATCCAGTTGTAGAGAAGCGTCGTGCAAGAGACTCCAAAGCACCTCCCCGAAAAGAAGGGCGCTGGGGCTGATCTCACGTGCCTTGGGCGGCAGAGCTGCAGTGTCGCGGTTGCAGTGCAGTGCAGTGCAGTGTGTAGCGTGTAGCGTATGTGTGTTACCTCAGCTTTGGAGATTTGTATTTGATGGACCGGACACTTTATCCCTTTTCCGCCTCAAATGCCCGTGGATGACAATTTCTTCGATTTGTCAATGAACACGGGGGAAGGAGTTCCAGCCATATCTACTACCTCAGCCAAGGTTCGCTAGAGGAGACACTGCTGAATATTGGCACCCGGTAAGATGGATTGTTTTTGAAATGACTCTTCATTTTTCAAATACGAGATGGCCTCGTGTACATCGACTGCTACTCTGACTCTCCTTGCGGATCTCCGATGAGAGAGAGGCTGAAATGCTCATTTGACATCTCCCTTCATCTGTCTTCTCGTCAAACGACATGACCTAAACACACGCCCAACGCCTTGCGGGAATCTTATCTCCACTGCCAAATTGGCCCGAAATCGCTTTTTGTTTTGCCGCCCAACGCCGTATTTGATGCATCCTTCGAGTGTCCCCATTATGAGTCCTCAATCGTCGTCTTCGTCCTCGCTGGCCGTAGCTGTGTCTTCCTCCACATCTGTCTCGGGAACATCGTCCTCCTCCTCATCACTATCATCGTCGCCAGCCTCCATATTAAGACCCGGGATAGCTTGGTATTGTACGTAGTCTCCCTGGATCCAGCGCTTGCTTACAGGCAGCTGGTAAGGGTCAAAGGGAAAGTAAGGGTCGAGCTGGTACGACTCCTCGTCCTGTGCTCCGGAGCCTGTGTCCCGGAGAGCGCCTCCTGTGCCGTACGTGTCCGACACAAACTGCGACAGCCTGATGCGCTTGTTCTCCTCCACACGCGGGAAGATATACATCAGGCCGAGCTTGTGGGCCAGTGTCGCGAATTCTTCGACGATCGCGGGCGCGCAGATCTTCAGCGGGTTCATCTTGCAGTACACACTCGCCGAAAGCTCCTCCCTCATCCCTTGCATCCACTCCAGCTCGTTGCCAAGGTATGATGCGGGGTCGTCGCGGTCGACAAACTCGGGCGTATCCACGATCAGGTCGCGCCAGCGAAAGCAGAACATGTAGAGCGCAGCTTGGACTTGCGCATAATAAATTTGGTGTCGCCGCAGATCAGGTCCTCTCGCGTCAGGGTCGTGCTTCACGCGGTAGATTTGCATCTGCTTGAGCAGGAGGGCGAAGACGGTGCGGACCAGGTCAGGCGGGACGTGAGCGCCTCTTGCCATGAAACCCGCCAGGTATGTAGCCGCTGCCTGTCGTACGAAGCTCGGTCGGTTTTGGGAGCCAAAGATGTGCATCAAGCTGCCAACGAAGGTATCGCGCAGACGTGCCGACATCTGGCCGAAGTGGAAGAGGAGGAATTGTGTATGGCGAGACTTGTATGTTGGCAGAACAATCTTTCCGAAAGACTGCACCAACAGGGCGTAGCGGCCCCATGCCTCGTCCGAGTCGGGGTTCACGAAGAGAGGTGTGTAGTGATCGAATAGCGTATCAAGGATAGCGTCCAGCTTCTCGACGTTGCCCTTAACAACGCGGACCTTTTCTTCCTTGTCGTCAAAATCCGAATCATCGCTGTCGACGGACTCGTCGTCGCTGTCCTCCTCCTCGGCTTCTTCATCGCCTTCCCATGACCCAGTGTTTAGTGACTTTCCAAGCGCGTATGCAACCGATGCCGTGAGGTCGTCGTCGAGGTCGTCAAGATCCGTCTGCATCTGGACATCGATCTTGACTAGACGCGAGAGGAGCACGTCGATAATGTCAAGATCCAGCTCTCCGGCGTAGTCAGAGAGCTTCAGTAGGTTGATGACGTAGGAGACGAACATCCTCTTCGGGTCGTCATCGAAGGGAAACTTGGTGTCGAGCAAGTTGCGGAGAACGGGGGTGGCGGCCGGGAACATCTGAAGGAGGTACTGCAGACCGGTGTGCAGACGTTCGCGCATGGTGGAGCGGCTGACAGGAGGAAAGTCGGCAACGCCCCATTCGGACTGCCTGGAGTGGCAGAATTTCTCGACAATCATGGACAACACATGCGTCAGATAGGACCCCTGAGCGCTAATGAGGGCAGCCAGGAACTGGATGTAGACCTTGAAGAAGTCTTCGTCTCGGCCGAGCCAAGAGACTTGGAGAACGGTTCTCACGAGACCATTGCAGGCCTTGTTCTTCAAGAGAGGGACGCAGCTAGTCAGCGCCAGAACGTAGCACTTGAGCTCCTGGGGCTTGAGGGTATCCTCGTCTTCCCCAGCGACAGGCGGCAAGTATCGCTGCTTATCGTTGGCAAAGATCTCCTTCAGATTGTCGTATTCCTCGTCCTCCCCCATGAGGTGCTCCTCGAGAGCTTTCCGGACTTCCGCGTTTACCTCGTCCATCGACCGACCGCCGAACTCGAAAATGCGATTGTTCATCTCGTTGATGAAGACCTTTCTCCGCTTGGTCGGACTGGAGGGAGGGTCAGCTGCGACCGAATCGAGCCCCGCCTCGTCTGCTTTCCGGCGGCCCAGCACGGAAGGACGCAAAATACTCTTAATAGGCGTCGCTGTTCTCGGTGGCGGCCCAGACCGATGTCTGGAAATGGGGGTGAAGGGTCGCATGGAGATAGTCGTGCGTGGTGGTCAAGGCTCTTTTTCAGGCGCTTGGAAGGGAAGCTCGCAGAGTGGCGGCACGGTGTCGGGCTATTCTCATAGACTGGTAGATGTGTTGCGCAAGGATTCGCAGAAACACGTCATGCATATCTGATTCTTTTGTGAAAGCAGCGTCGGGGCGTCTATTGTCCTCGAGGTGTTGCTGGATTGAGGTGGCGGCCGACCGAGAGATCCTTTCGGCGGTTTGTTGCCTGGAAAGTTTGGTGATAGGTCAAAGGCTGCCCATCACTTTTTTTTTTGCTAGGTAGGCGGCGGCACGGATTTGTTTGGGCCTTGCATCCACTGGCTGGATAAAATTTTGAGACTGGAGGGGCTGCGCACGTGCCCAATGCCGCACTCAAGACCCCTGGAGTGGTTCTTGGACCGTGCACCTTTCGTCACAGGCGCCTTACACTTTTAAGTGGCTGATGAGAAGCTGGGGAATTATTGACATAGTCTTCTCTTATTGGACATGTTGCAACAGTTGCCTGCTAAGCCGTTGTGTAAGTCGAATAAAGCATATGGATCGTTCGATCCGCAAATCATGAAGCTCGTCGGTATGTGTCATTCATGGGTGAGAGTCATAATGAGTCCCCATTTCAAAGTGGCAAGAATCAACGCCAAAGAAGTGATTGCGCGACAGAATGGGACTGGAATTAGAAGCTATCTAGAGTGCTGTAGCTATCTGCTAAGGAAACACGGCCCGGGTCCGTTCCGTTAGCTCGAATGCTTGCTGAACTGCTCTCTGCCAATGCCGCAAGACCACTCCTGGGTCTGACATGGCTGACTGAATCGCAACGCGATAAGGGGGAATCTATCAACAGCCAATTGTTCAAAGGAAAGAAGAAATTTCTGTCCAGTCAACGCCCTTTTGGGTAAACCTTGCTGCTCTCCGACCTTGACGTGACTCCTGG